GCGCTGCCCATGCTAATGTAGCAGATGTGATCTTTACTCTCTCTCTTGCGTTGTGTAATAAAGAAAGCAATGCCAACCAGCGGTCCCAGTAGTTTATTTTCTGTGACAAATCAAGGACAGCACATTAAATCAAATCAAATAATGTGTTATTTGTCACATGCGCTGAATACAACCATGAAATGCTTACTTTATAAGCCCTTAACCAACAACACAGTTTTAAGAAAATATTTACTAAATTAACTCAAGTTTAAAAAAGTAACACAATAAGATAACAATTACGAGGCTATGTGCGGGGTACAGGTTAGTCGAGGTAATTGAGGTAATATGTACATGTAGGTAGGGGTAAAGTGACTATGCATAGATAATTAACAGCGAGTAGCAGCATCGTAAAAAAAAGGGGGTCAACTCAAATAGTCCGGGCAGCCATTTGATTAATTGTTTAGCAGTGTTACGGATACAGGTAAACGCTAGTTAGACCTGAGTGGACCACCCACTGTATTTTTGTATGGTTAGCAGTAGCTTAGTGGTTCTTGAGGCAGGCAAGATCAGTTTAGGGGGTTTTGACATTATTGTTTCATTCCTTGGGTCCTGCTCAGCCCTTTTTCCCAAACCTTTACCGTGTGTTCATGATAAACATTTTGTGTTTGACGGTAGCTTATGGTTGTCGGTGTATTTTTGTTATCACTGTTTCTGTGTCACGATTCTAATTTGTATGAGTTATGTTACGGGTCTCTTTTCCATCCCCCCTAGACTTTTAAAGCCACGGGGTTCGTAACAAGCAGTCAGTTGCCATACCAGGCAGTGATACAACGTCTTAGGATGCTCTCGATGGTGCAGCTGTAGAACATTTTGAGGATCTGGGGACCCATGCCAAATCTTTTCAGTCTCCTGAGGGGGTATAGGCATTGTCATGCCCTCTTCACGACAGTCTTGGTGTGTTTGGACCATGATAGTTTGTTGGTGATGTGGACACCAAGGAACTTGAAGCTCTCGACCCGCTCCACTACAGCCCTGTCGATGTGAATGGGGGCATGCTCGGCCCTCATTTTCCCTGTAGTCCACGATCAGCTCCTTTGTCTTGCTCACGTTGAGGGAGAGGTTGTTGTCCTGGCACCACACTGCCATGTCTCTGACCTCCTCCCAATAGACTGTCTCATCGTTGTTGGTGATCAGGCCTACCACCGTTGTGTTGTCGGCAAACTTAATGATGGTGTTGGAGTTGTGTTGGCCACGCAGTCGTGGATGAACAGGGAGTACAGGAGGGGACTAAGCACGCATCCCTGAAGGGCCCCCGTGTTGAGGATCAGCGTGGCAGTCCGTCAGGAAGTCCAGGATCCAGTTGCAGAGGGAGGTGTTTACTCCCAGGGTCCTTAGCTTAGTGATGAGCTTTGAGTGCACTACGGTGTTGAACGCTGAGCTGTAGTCAATGAACAGCATTCTCATGTAGGTGTTCCTTTAGTCCAGGTGGGAAAGGGCAGTGTGGAGTGCAATTGAGATTGCGTCATCTGTGGATCTGTTGGGGCGGTATGCAAATTAGGTGGGTCTAGGGTTTCCGGGATGATGGTGTTGATGTGAGCCATGACCAGCCTTTCAAGGCACTTCATGGCTACAGACGGGAATGCTACGGGACGGTAGTAATTTAGGCAGGTTACCTTGGCGTTCTTGAGCACATGTAGGTATTACAGACTCGGTCAGGGAGAGGTTGAAAATGTCAGTGAAGACACTTGCCAGTTGGTCCGTGCATGCTCTGAGTACACGTTCTGGTAATCCATTTGGCCCCGTAGCCTTATGAATGTTGACCTGTTTAAAGGTCTTACTCACATCGGCTACGGAGAGTGTGATCACACAGTCATCCGGAACAGCTGTTGCTCTCATGCATACTTCAGTGTTGCTTGCCTCGAAGCGAGCATAGAAGGCATTTAGCTTGTCTTGTAGGCTCACGTCACTGGGCAGCTTGCAGCTGGGTTTCCCTTTGTAATCCATAATAGTTTGCAAGCCCTGCCACATCTGACAAGCATCAGAGCTGATATAGTAGGATTCAATCTTAGTCCTGTATTGACACTTTGCCTGTTTGATGGTTCATCTGAGGACATAGCGGGATTTCTTATAAGCGTCCGGATTAGTGTCCCGCTCCTTGAAAGCGGCAGCTCTAGCCTTTAGCTCAGTGCAGATGTTGCATGTAATCCATGGCGTCTGGTTGGGATGTGTACATACGGTCATTGTGGGGATGACGTCATCAATGCCCTTATTGATAAAGCCGGTGACTGATGTGGTATACTCCTCAATTCCATTGGATGAATCCCGGAGCATATTCCAGTTTGGGCTAGCAAAACAGTCCTGTAGGTTAGCATCCGCTAGGAGCGATGATGTCATCAATGTTTTTTGCATTGGATGAGCATTTCCTTGTTTGCTTATGGCCTTATACAACTCGTTGAGTGCGGTCTTAGTGCCAGCATCGGTTTGTGATGGTAAATTGACAGCTACGAAATACTTTCTTGGTAGATAGTGTGGTCTACAGTTAATCATGAGGTTCTCTACCTTAGGTGAGCAAAACCTTGAGACGTCCTTAATATTAGAGATTGCGCACCAGCTGTTATTTACAAATAGACACAGACCACCAGACATAGACCACCACCCCTCATCTTACCAGAGGTAGCTGTTCTGTCTTGTCGATGCACAGAAAACCCAGTCAATTGTATATTATCCATGTCGTCGTTCAGCCACGACTCGGTGAAACATAAGATATTACAGTTTGTTATGTCTCGTTGGTAGGATAGTCTCGAACGGAGCTCATACAGTTTATTCTCCAGTGATTGCAAGTTGGCCAATAGGACGGATGGTAGAGGCGGGTTACCCACTTGCCAACGAATTCTCACAAGGCACCCGGATCTGCGGCCTCTGTATCTCCATCTCCTCTTCATGTGAATGACTGGGATTTGGGCCTGGTCCGGGAGCAGCAGTAAATCCTTCGTGTCAGACTCATTAAAGAAAAAATCTTCGTCCAGTTCGAGGTGAGTAATCGCTGTTCTGATATCCAGAAGCTATTTTTGGTCATAAGAGACGGTAGTAGAAACATTATGTGCAAAATAAGTTACGAACAATGCAAAAAACAACACAAAATAGCACAATTGGTTAGTAGCCTGTAAAACGGCAGCCATCCCCTCCGGCTTGATTATATTGATGGCTGTCAATAGCATGAATCTGTAACACTGTATTAGCAGGGGCTAATGCGGCCATTACATCTCAATTATGCTAGCTAACTCACTTATACAGCAATCATACATACAAAAGTACATCACAGAAAGCCCCCAATATCTAACAGGTACCACACACACACACATATATATATATATATATATATATATATACAGTCAAAAGTTTTGAGAATGACACAAATACTAATTTTCACAAAGTCTGCTGCCTCAGTTTTGATGATGGCAATTTGCATATACTCCAGAATGTCATAAAGCGTGATCAGATGAATTGTAATTAATTGGCTTTTTCTTTGCAACTCTGCCTAGAAGGTCAGCATCCCAGAGTCGCCTCTTCACTGTTGACGTTGAGACTGGTGTTTTGCGGGTACTATTTAATGAAGCTGCCAGTTGAGGACCTGTGAGGCGCCTGTTTCTCAAACTAGACACTCTAATGTATTTGTCCTCTTGCTCAGTTGTGCACTGGGGCCTCCCACTCCACTTTCTATTTTGTTTAGAGCCATTTTGCGCTGTTCTGTGAAGGGAGTAGTACACAGCGTTGTACGAGATCTTCAGTTTCTTGGCAATTTCTCGCATACAATAGCCTTCATTTCTCAGAACAATAGACTGACGAGTTTCAGAAGAAAGTTATTTGTTTCTGGCCATTTTGAGCCTGTAATCGAACCCACAATTGCTGATACTCAACTAGTCTCACAAAGGCCAGTTTTATTGCTTCTTTAATCAGCACAACAGTTTTCAGCTGTGCTAACATAATTTCAAAAGGGTTTTCTAATGATCAATTAGCCTTTTAAAATGATACATTTGGATTAGAAAACACAACGTGCCTATCTCTGGTGTATTTCATTCTTAGGCTATATTCTCTTGCTAAACCCGCTACTGTAGAAACGTTTTTTTATTGGATATTGAGGTCTTTAAAAGATCTTGAACTAAAGATACAATAACTAAATTGATTTTAATTTAATGATGCTAATGCTAGTGCTTTTTGCTAACGAATACATCAATTTTGTATATGGTATGTCCCCAGCCTCCTCTTTGTGTATAACAAACCACTGTTAAACCATATTGTAAATCATGTTTGCAAGCTAAATAGGAGACAACTATTTGAAACCATTGATACATCTGTAATCTGTATCCTAATATCTATCTCTTATTCTTCTCAGAATACATGCCTGTTTGCTCTCCGCAGGTTGTTTATGTTTTTCGCTTCTTGCTGCTCTCTGATTAACTGTTGATAACTAAATCTAACTGATTCAAAGACCCCAAATAACAAATAAAAGTCTAACCTCTCTGGCATCTCCAGTCTCCTTTTTTCTCATCACAATAATCCCCAATATTAAACGTATTAAACTTTCAATAGTGTTTAATAATCCCCTATATTAAACATATTAAACTTTCAATAGTGTTTAATAATCCCCTATATTAAACGTACACTATAGAGCACCTGTACTCTCTGCAAGGATCCAGTACTCTATGCTAAGGCTGACCCTGCATATCCCAGTGCTCTCTCTTTGTGAAAATAATAAGTAAACTTCCAGATATGAACGCATAGTGCATTTTACATAACACTCATGGTTTATTTCAGAAAGGCTCATTGCTTACAGTCCCTGTAAACTGGGGGAAATGTGAGTTGTATTGTATTGACCTTTTGTGTTATCCAAGACAGAGATCTAGGATGGGCAACTCCAGTCCTCGGGGGCCTGACTGATGTCACACATTTGCCCCAGCCCCAGCTAACACCTGACTCCAATAATAAACTAATCATAATCTTCAGTTTAGAATGCAATTAGTGTAATCACCTGTGTTTGCTATGGTGAAAAAGTGTTACACCACTCCGGCCCCCGAGGATTGTAGTTTCCCCTCTCTGATAGATAGTGTACTATTGTACTGTAATGCAATATAACTGTTTATAATGATTAGTTAGTGAGAATCATAGTCATGATACACTGAAATTAAAACATTTAGGTCTGATTTCAAAGACCCACATAAAACATTTTCCTGGACTGAAGTGTACTTTCAATCAAGATTATGATACTTTCATTTTCTTGGAAAAGTCTGGAAAAGTTCCAGTCATGTAATTCAGTGTTCATAGAAGCACATCTTCAGGTCTTGATTAACTGAACTAGAATAAGACTTCAGAGGTCGGCATTGAAGTTCAAACCTTCTGGCAGGTCCCAAAGCAAGCTATCTCAATTTAGCACTTGGATGTGCTTGCAATGCACTCACCAAATCCAGGGTCTTTACACAACATGCTCCTGGGTTTATTTTATATGGCTGTCTGTCTATCCCCTCAGTCTAAGAACTCACTGCAGTCGATTCTGACTGCATCCAGAGTCAGCTTCCCTCCGAACGACACCAAAGGGTTCATGAACGGGCTCAGGGGGTTCTGTGGACAGGGGAAGAATCCCATCACATCCAGACCTTCCTCTTCCTTCTCCTCTCTGCTCCCCAGGACGTGTGTTGAGATGTATTCTACAGTCATATCTGTTCCCTGGGAGTCCTGTGTCTGTCCTGAGGAGCCTGACTCCTGGGAGAAGCTCTTGAGGTAGGAGCTCTGGAAGTAGGCTGTTGTTGATGGGTCTGTCGCGGGGATCTGCTGGGGCATGAAGAGGACTTGTGAGGAGGGGTGAATGGCACCCTCTGGAGTTCTGGAGCTGTCAGTGCGCTGTGCTGGGTTCCCTGAGATCCAGCTGCCCTCAGGCAGCTCCTGGACCTCCACAGTGTCTGGCTCCTCCTCTTCACTGACACTGGACTCACTGAGGTAGAGGTGTAGGGTCAACTCACCCTGGGGGAAGACGGGAAGGGGAAAGACTATAATGTATCACTGTGGATCCAAATTAAGTATTCAGAGTGTGTTTGTGTGTACGTGTGTGCGTGCGTGCTTGCATGTACCTTCTCTTTGGCACACTCCTTTGCCCATTTGCTGTTGGCCGGATCAGGAACGATATCTGGCATGAGGCAGTGGACGAGTGTTGAGACTCTGTGGAGGAGAGAACATGGAAGAGAATGACAGTGAGTCAGGAACAGAGCACACACTTAATAACACAGTCAATAAATATTTCCATTTCATTGCTGTCTAGTGACTCCCCATTAGGACTAGAGGCTGTTCCTGTTCCTACTGTATTACCGTTGTCGTAACGAGGAGACCTGGTACAGACACAGCAGGACAAAGAACACCAGGAAGAACACCAGGAAGGAGGTGATCCCTACCAGGACCATGGTATACAGCCAGCTGTCTGAAAGCAAACCCACAGTGGTACATAATAAGCATACAGTGTAAACATTATACAGTATAAACATAGGCATTCTGTATTTACTGTAACACTTCACATAACTGGAATGGTAGTACTGAGAGTGTTTCAGCTAGATTATTCTAAGAAACATTGTTTTCACTCTTTCAACCTTGTTACACTCACTTTGAGGTTTGATGAAAAAGTGGACAGATTGTCTGGTTTTGGGGCTCTGTCCTGAGGCGGTCGATGCGGTCATCCATAGACGGTACTCTGCTGAGGGCAGGCCCCTGATGGTGAAGGACCTCTCTGATGCACTGCAGACTGGAACACAACCACAGGTCATGAACACAGCACACACACACACAATGCACATTGTGTTTGGTAGTTATTCTCCATACCGTAGTTTCCGACATCTTTTCCCTCTGAGTTTTCCACATAGATGGCGTAGTTGATGACACAGCCCCTCCTGTCTCCCTGAGGGACCTCTGACCAGGACACTGTCACTCTGTCCCCCTCCACCACCGGCTGGTAGACAGACGGACCCGCAGACGGCACTACAGGACATAGTCACACCACAAATAGGAATCAAACTCTGGCACTGATCCATTGATGTGAAACCTTAGAAAAAATTGTGATCTCCTGTCTTACCTGATTCCCAGGTGTGGAAGTCTTCAAACTGGGCCCTGCCCACTGCCTGCTCATACAGAGCATAAACTGCTCCCTCATAGCACTTTAGCGGCTTAATGTTATCTACACACAGGAGAGAGAGTGGGTGGGGTGGAGTTCGAGAGAGAGAGGGATTGAGAGCAAGAGGAGGGATCAACAGGCTGTGTCATTACTCAGGGATCCAATGAGATCTAATGCGATTCTAAGCTGGCCATCCATCCGCTACACGTACCTCTAATGACAGTATGGGTTTCATTAGGACCCAGTCTCTTCCACCTGAGCTCCTCCACCTGTCTGCCTACAGGGAACCATTCCACCAGGTAGCCAATTACTGGCCCATACCCTGTCCCACTGGCTGCTCCTGCAGTTACAGGCCTCTGCCAGGAGATGGTGACGCTGTGGTTACTGTGATTTCTACAAGTCACGCACTGAGGGGGCTTGGCTGTGAAGGGAGATGAGTGTGTGACACTATCAGTAGAGCAGTCACCCTTCCCTGTCAACTATGGTCAAATGGATGTTACATTTATGTCTATGTGGTTTGTAAATGTTGATTGTCTTTTAACTCAAACAAGCAAAGAAGTGGAACAAATAACTTAACCAAAGTGCACTTATCAAGAATTAACTTTTCTGGAGAGGAGTCTGAATCTTGAATAGGAAGATGGAGGAAAAGGGGGAGAAAAGGGGGAGGAAATTGAGATGCCTTACCTGCTCTGAGCGGAATGGTGACAAGGGCAGGGGGTGAGGAACCTCTGGAGTTCAGGGCGTAGACAGTGATATCACAGCGAGAGCAGGACAGGACTGAAATATTATTACTGGAGGTGGTGCCCTCAGATTTCCCAGCCAGGGTGTCGTGAACTATGACCTTGTAACCCTTGATACTCCCTCTGGCCTCTGTGTCACTCAGCCTCTGCAATCAGATTCAGAACCACGTACATTGGGGCGAACAAGTATTTGATACACTGCCGATTTAGCAGGTTTTCCTACTTACAAAGCATGTAGAGGTCTGTAATTTTTTATCATAGATACACTTCAACTGTGCGAGACGGAATCTAAAACAAAAATCCAGAAAATCACATTGTATGATTTTTAAGTAATTAATTTGCATTTTATTGCATGACATAAGTATTTGATATATCAGAAAAGCAGAACTTAATATTTGGTACAGAAACCTTTGTTTGCAATTACAGAGATCATACATTTCCTGTAGGTCTTGACCAGGTTTGCACACACTGCAGCAGGGATTTTGGCCCACTCCTCCATACAGACCTTCTTCAGATCCTTCAGGTTTCGGGGCTGTCGCTGGGCAATACGGACTTTCAGCTCCCTCCAAAGATGTTCTATTGGGTTCAGGTCTGGAGACTGGCTAGGCCACTCCAGGACCTTCAGATGCTTCTTACGGAGCCACTCCTTAGTTGCACTGGCTGTGTGTTTCGGGTCGTTGTCATGCTAGAAGACCCAGCCACGACCCATCTTCAATGCTCTTACTGAGGGAAGGAGGTTGTTGGCCAAGATCTCGCGATACATGGCCCCATCCATCCTCCCCTCAATACGGTGCAGTCGTCCTGTCCCCATTGCAGAAAAGCATCCCCAAAGAATGATGTTTCCACCTCCATGCTTCACGGTTGGGATGGTGTTCTTGGGGTTGTACTCATCCTTCTTCTTCCGCCAAACACAGCGAGTGGAGTTTAGACCAAAAAGCTCTATTTTTGTCTCATCAGACCACATGACCTTCTCCCATTCCTCCTCTGGATCATCCAGATGGTCATTGGCAAACTTCAGACGGGCCTGGACATGCGCTGGCTTGAGCAGGCGGACCTTGCGTGCGCTGCAGGATTTTAATCCATGACGGCGTAGTGTGTTACTAATGGTTTTCTTTGAGACTGTGGTCCCAGCTCTCTTCAGGTCATTGACCAGGTCCTGCCGTGTAGTTCTGGGCTGATCCCTCACCTTCCTCATGATCATTGATGCCCCACGAGGTGAGATCTTGCATGGAGCCCCAGACCGAGGGTGATTGACCGTCATCTTGAACTTCTTCCATTTTCTAATAATTGCGCCAACAGTTGTTGCCTTCTCACCAAGCTGCTTGCCTATTGTCCTGTAGCCCATCCCAGCCTTGTGCAGGTCTACAATTTTATCCCTGATATCCTTACACAGCTCTCTGGTCTTGGCCATTGTGGAGAGGTTGGAGTCTGTTTGATTGAGTGTGTGGACAGGTGTCTTTTTATACAGGTAACGAGTTCAAACAGGTGCAGTTAATACAGGTAATGAGTGGAGAACAGGAGGGCTTCTTAAAGAAAAACTAACAGGTCTGTGAGAGCCGGAATTCTTACTGGTTGGTAGGTGATCAAATACTTATGTCATGCAATCAAATGCAAATTAATTACTTAAAAATCATAAAGTGTATCAAATACTTGTTCTCCCCACTGTATAAAACACAGGCCCACTCCATGGGCAACAACCACAAATGATGCAGTGATAGGATTGGCTATCAGTGTTTTAATCCCATTTCTGTTTCCCAGCATAGAATCCTAAAGCAAGGGAGAATCTCAATAGCATACTCCTCGTGTCCTCTCTTCTCTCTCCTTCTCAAAACCCATTGGAGGAGAAGGTCAGAGGTGAGAGACCTCTGGCTTTCTCATCCAATGGGTTTTGCGAAGGAGGCAACGAGAGAGGAGTATGTAATTGAGATTCTCCCCTAGAGTCTGACTGTTTCTACAGTTAGCTATATTGTTGCCTTTCCAACATTTGTTATGATGATAACAATATCAACATGCCCCTACCATTGTGTTAGCTTAACATTTAATTCAACTTTATTGTATTTCCCCAGGAACAGCTAAGAAGGCACGCTATCCCTGCAGGGAGAGGAGAGGTGTGTAAGGGATCTATCATTTATTTTAAACTGCTCATCTTCTGTTTCTTGTAAACTGAAACTGTGACGTGTCTGGCCCAGGTTTCAGTCTCACAAATCATTGGAGACGGAGCCTCTCACACCAATGGGGTGAGGTTGGGGGGGGGTTGGGGGGGGGGGGGTGGTGGGTGGTGGTATCCCCTCTCAGAAGAGGTAAGAGTTAAACGTTTAGCTAATGTAGCGGAGCTAGCGGAGTAACTAGACCACAGGCTGCAGCTATGGCTAAGAAAGCTTTATACAGACGCATGAAATGCTACAGTTTAGGACAGAACCAGGACGAAAGTAAAACTTGTAGTTTTTTTCCTAATTACTCAGAGATAGATAGAGCTAGAGACACCATATTTTATGACAAACGGCATATACACTGAGTGTACAAAACATTAAGAACACCTTACTAATATTGAGTTGCATCCCCCTGCCTTTTGCCCTCAGAAACAGCCTCAATTCATCGGGGCATGGACTCTACAAGGTGTCTACATGTTGACTCCAATGCTTCCCAAAGTTGTGTAAAGTTGGCTGGATGTCCTTTTGACGGTGGACTATTCTTGATACACATGGGGAACGGTTGTCAAATGTGACATCTGCCGGTTAGCAATATAAAGCAGCGAGGATGTTCATAAATACGTTTTTTTCCACAATATTCATAAAATCTCTGTGGCACAGCGGTTCATTGTGGGTGTTAATAGCCTACTATAATTTACCATTACAGGTTTTCACCTTACATCATGCTTCCCTTTTTAGCTGTGAATCCCTTTTGTTTTGCTGTCAAAAACGGAATCTATGGCATTATTTTGGATGCTTTAGACAGAAGCTTATACCATACTAAATAAACATGTGCAGAAAGTGTGGTGTCACATAAAACAATTTTCTAAATAATAAGCCTTCGCCAGGAATCAACCCCATTAACTGTTCCCCGACTACCTGCTGAGCTACCGTTCCGGTGACACTACATCACAAAATCTTAACTAAATTACATTATAAGTAAGGTGTACAGTAGTCAGTGTTTGAAAGCAACTTGGAATCGAAGAAAGCACCGTAACCATGGCGAAATCTGTGGGATCTCTCATTTTGCAAACCACTGTTTGAAAAACCACATGATCAAACAAAGCTTCGGGCGTCATTGATCACGCGATAATGATACTTTGAAACGAGCATCGGTACATTGTATTGGATCAGTAGTGCTTTGAAAACTGCATTGGAGCTCCGGTATCAATGTCCCATCATAAATACTACAGTACAGGCATGTCCACAAAAACACTACTGTAAATACTACAGTATTAACTGTAATGTTTTTGCACAAAAACAACACAGTGAATACTACAGTAAAGTCTGCAAAAACACCACAGTGAATACTATAGAATATACACTGCTCAAAAAAATAAAGAGAACACTTAAACAACACATCCTAGATCTGAATGAATGAAATAATCTTATTAAATACTTTTTTCATTACATAGTTGAATGTGCTGACAACAAAATCACACAAAAATTATCAATGGAAATCAAATGTATCAACCCATGGAGGTCTGGATTTGGAGTCACCCTCAAAATTAAAGTGGAAAACCACACTACAGGCTGATCCAACTTTGATGTAATGTCCTTAAAACAAGTCAAAATGAGGCTCAGTAGTGTGTGTGGCCTCCACGTGCCTGTATGACCTCCCTACAACGCCTGGATATGCTCCTGATGAGGTGGCGGATGGTCTCCTGAGGGATCTCCTCCCAGACCTGGACTAAAGCATCCGCCAACTCCTGGACAGTCTGTGGTGCAATGTGGCGTTGGTGGATGGAGCGAGACATGATGTCCCAGATGTGCTCAATTGGATTCAGGTCTGGGGAACGGGCGGGCCAGTCCATAGCATCAATGCCTTCCTTTTGCAGGAACTGCTGACACACTCCAGCCACATGAGGTCTAGCATTGTCTTGCATTAGGAGGAACCCAGGGCCAACCGCACCAGCATATGGTCTCACAAGGGGTCTGAGGATCTCATCTCGGTACCTAATGGCATTCAGGCTACCTCTGGCGAGCACATGGAGGGCTGTGCGGCCCCCCAAAGAAATGCCACCCCACACCATGACTGACCCACCGCCAAACCGGTCATGCTGGAGGATGTTGCAGGCAGCAGAACGTTCTCCACGGCGTCTCCAGACTCTGTCACGTCTGTCACGTGCTCAGTGTGAACCTGCTTTCTTCTGTGAGGAGCACAGGGCGCCAGTGGCGAATTTGCCAATCTTGGTGTTCTCTGGCAAATGCCAAACGTCCTGCACGGTGTTGGGCTGTAAGCACAACCCCCACCTGTGGACGTCGGGCCCTCATACCACCCTCATGGAGTCTGTTTCTGACCGTTTTAGCAGACACATGCACATTTGTGGCCTGCTGGAGGTCATTTTGCAGGGCTCTGGCAGTGCTCCTCCTGCTCCTCCTTGCACAAAGGCGGAGGTAGCGGTCCTGCTGCTGGGTTGTTGCCCTCCTGTACTGGCCTGTCTCCTGGTAGCGCCTCCATGCTCTGGACACTATGCTGACAGACACAGCAAACCTTCTTGCCACAGCTCGCATTGATGTGCCATCCTGGATGAGCTGCACTACCTGAGCCACTTGTGTGGGTTGTAGACTCCGTCTCATGCTACCACCAGAGTGAATGCACCGCCAGCATTCAAAAGTGACCAAAACATCAGCCAGGAAGCATAGGAACTGAGAAGTGGTCTGTGGTCACAACCTGCAGAACCACTTCTTTATTGGGGGTGTCTTGCTAATTGCCTATAATTTCCACCTGTTGTCTATTCCATTTGCACAACAGCATGTGAAATGTATTGTCAATCAGTGTTGCTTCCTAAGTGGACAGTTTGATTTCACAGAAGTGTGATTGACTTGGAGTTACATTGTGTTGTTTAAGTGTTCCCTTTATTTTTTTGAGCAGTGTATATATTAAGACATCTGTTTGAATGCTCACCTTCCAGTGTAAAGTGATGGAGTTGTTGGGAGAGTTGGAGGTTGTGTACCACACATCCAGGGCCTTGGCAGGTGCTGTAAAAGAGCACAGCATACAAACCGTTTATTCTTTGCAACAGTTAGCTGTGGCTGACCCCATGCTCCTCCCAAAATTGATGTATACTCCCAAAATGTTTGCTGTGTATTTGTATGATGTCTGGGTGGTTGGCACCAATAAAGTACTATTCTATTCTATCCATTAAGTACATAGCTTGTATGTACAAGGTCATTGTGATAGCCATCAGCCTTCAGCCTATTTTGTGTTTTGATAACCATCTGACAACCTTCATTATGTTTTCTTCAGAACAAGGACGTGTCTCAGACATTACTAATATTTCCTGGAAACAACATTTTTACAGTTTTTGCATCAAATAATAAACTGCCAACCAAAGTGACATATAATTCCAGACTGATTTGATCTGCATCCTGTAAGTCAGCAGACAGGACAAACACAGCATCATCAAATATAATTCAGATGCGCTACTAAAAGGCTTATTTGGCATGAGGTGCTTATCTGGGTTATGTCAAATTCTTGGTATTCCAAAAAAGGTGATAGCATCTCTCATAAATGATGGTAACAACGAGGTTTGTCCACCTCCAAGAAGCAAACACTTAATTAACCCCGCAGGGAAGTTGCACATCACTTCCAGTGTAAGCCAATGCCTTATCTCTAATGTATTTATTTCACCAGAATAATGTCATCAAGATTAATGGGTAGCTGCTTATCCTCATAATTACCACATCAACACTTGAGGAGTTAAGATGTTTATGTTTCATCGTCTTTTCTGATATCTGTTGACCTGTCATGCCTAATCTTGTTAAGTTTCAAAATGTGGGTCATCGTTCAATGTTTTTCCGTATCTTACTTTTTGTTCAATGAAAAAGAAACTCCTCCCTTGATGATCAGGAAGTGAGAGAGGGGGAATTTTGGTTGCTGTGCGCACACACACACCAACACAAATACGCACAGCAGTGGGCCATGTGGCTTACAGAGCAGATGAATGACGACAGAGAAGGGAGGTGAGGTTATGGTGAGGCTACCACACTGTGACTATCTCTCCTACAGGGTGATGGTGTGGTTGATAGCTCTCAGAGATGCAGAGACACTCTCAAAGTTAAAGACTGTCACTCAATACTGCCGAGGGACATTATTTTCTCATCTTCTACTTATACATGATGAGTACTGGTCGGTAAAACAACGCATGAAATAAAGAACAGTATCGTTTCACTGTAAATTAATGAAGTCACTTCACTGAATGAAGGCAGTGTTACCGTATTTAGCCAGATGATAAATTATCCAGTACACGTCAATTCTAAATTTGTGATGCCGATCATTATACGATATGATCCTGCTTAGTGTTGACCATAAGGATACTTTGTTGTTCCTCTCAGTATGATGATGAACACTATGTTATGAGGTGTTTCCAGAAACACCTGAAATCTCCTGGCCTGGGATCAGATTAAACCTTCTTAGATGCATGTTTCACAATGCTCTATGTAAGTGTAGGTATAGAGAGGGCAAGCTTATCTCTGTGATACAACTCAGTTTAATCTAAATCATGTTTTCTACACTCACAGGAAACTGTTGACTTGTAGACAGGGTTCACCTTTGATTAGGCTCTATATGCAGGTGTGTGAAGGGAAAACTATGTCTAAACTACATCTGTAATCTGACATCATCTATACAATGTCAAAACTGAAACTTTCCCTGAGCATCTTCTTTTCCACCTCATCATGTTCAAACCGATTTCTACTCTCTGTCTCTCTTTCATACTCTGTAGCACACAACTGCACAATAACTTAGAGTCACAACCAACCAGTACAGTATACTACAGGGCATCATTAATAAAGTGACACATGTCCACTGAATCTGTCACTGATAGAGATGTATGATAGAACCCCAGTTACCAGGCGTATATAACTGTACATCACTGGTTCTGCTATAGATGGGTTAGCTGAGAAAGTCATGAAAACGATGTGCACACTTCAGTGGGACAGAAGTTTGTGTGTTGTTGTGATTTTGGATGGCCAGATAGCTAGCAACAACGACAAGAAACTGCCATGTGGGGAATCATAAGTGGCTCGTTTCAGTTAGTTTTATCTTGTTCTGGATACCATGTCTTGCTTTGAGGTGTTTTGACTGATGTCACGTCTATGCTAATATGGCAAACATGAGCATTACACAGGTGCACCTTGTGCTGGGGACAATAAAAGGCCACTCCAAAGTGTGCAGTTTTGTCACACAACACAATGCCACAGATGCCTTGTTTTGAGGGAGTGTGCAATTGACATGCTGACTGACTGCAGGAATGTCCACCAGAGCTGTTGCCAGAGAATTGAATGTTAATTTCTCTACCATAACCCACCGCCAACATCATTTTAGAGAATTTGGCAGTACGTCAGCCCAGGACCTGCACATCAAGCTTCTTCACCTGCGGGATCATTCAAGACCAGCCACCCGGACAGCTGATGAAACTGAGAAGTATTTCTGTCTGTAATGAAGCCCTTTTGTGGGGAAAAACTCATTCTGATTGGCTGGGCCTGGCTCCCCAGTGGATGGGCCTGGCTCCCAAGTAGGTGGGCCTATGCCCTCCCAGGCCCACCCATTGCTGCGCCCCTGCCCAGTCATGTGAAATCCATAGATTAGGGCCTAATACATTTATTTCAATTGACTGATTTCCTTATATGAACTGTAACTCAGTAAAATCGTTGAAATTGTTGCATGTTGCGTATATATTTCTGTTCAGTATATTTGAGAGACAACAAGTGCATATTGTGAAACTTTATTTATGCTTTCAATAAACGTTGGAGACAAAGTATAGTTAACATGTTGTCAACAATCTAAGCCAACCCTGTCTGTTTTGCCCCATAGTTGCACACAAGTCAGCTTTGTTGCTAAACAACCAACCCGTCTATAAAGGCCATCCGCAGGACCAACGAATCACCCAGACAGTGCAGTGCTAGTGTTCTTACCCTCCTCCTGTGTCTGGTTAGAGAGGGGTGGGCTCCAGTCACTCCAGATGCCTCTCTCATGGCTCAGTCTGACCCTGGCCTGGAACTCATACTCTGTGTAGGGCTGCAGAGACACAATGGACTGGTTCCTCACTGAACCTGCCTGTGAGGCACAGCAGTCAGAACACAGTATTACTTTTATAAGACATGTATTACACATTTATAAGACAATTATTACATATTCATTACACAATCATAAGACTTGCATGTGGGGGGCTGCCAAGGCAGACAAGGCATGAGTGGACTACTAAAAAGTGAAGACATATAGATGCTTGACTGGCTTGGCAGGGATCTGCAAACCCCAGTCAAATCTGCCTCTGCTTCTGACTCAGCCGAGAGGTCTTGTGGTTTAAGGTCAAATCTTACATGTGAGGTTGTGTCTTGTGTGTGTCTTGCAACGGTTTTGCAACTCAACTTCTAGCAAAGCAGCATTGGATTGTATGTGTATAATGGTCAATACTCAGTCAGTTCCCTATATGGCAGGTGATGTTTACAGTGCGTGGGTAACTGTGTGACAGTGGTTCTTACAGTGTATGGGTGTGATATCCATGGTCCTGGTCCCTGGGCTGCTCTCTGCTGGACCTCCAGGAGCTGAGCTCCCTGAGCCTCCTCCACCCTGACCTCACAGCCCCGCGACCAGCACTCTACCTGGGACACAGCAGGGGGCCTGGGCTGCACTATAGAGAGAGAGAGAGAGAAAGAGAGAGACAGAGAGAGAGAGAGAGAGAGAGAGAGAGAGAGAGAGAAAGAGAAAGAGCGAGAGTGAGAGTGAGAGTGAGAGCGAGAGCGAGAGAGAGAGAGAGAGAGAGAGCAGTCAATATGGACAGGGATACACGTAGGACAGTTAGTATGGACCGAGAGAGTACAGTAGTGGATGCAGAGTGCAGAGAGCCTCACCAGTGATATTACTCACCCAAACCTGACAAACATCTTTTAGTACTCATCTAGAATGCATCATAACTGCTGCATTGGTCATTTCTAAAACAAACGTTAGGTAGATTACAAAGCCTAGAAGTCAAATGACCAAAGCGCTCTCTAGTGGCCTTATGGTGGAATGTTATAATTAATAAACGTCCATTCTTTTTTTACGCCAAAAATCCAGTGTTTCTATGTTGAATGGTTCTGTTATGTTTCAGTCTTCTATGATGTATATAAAGTGTAATATTGGGATGCAAACTCAAAATTGAATACATTTAAACTCTATATCTGACATGGTACATGGTATATTTTTTAAGCCCATAACCATGTGTGGAAGGTGTATACTTTTGTTTCAGTAGATTTGTTTAGGACTACCAAGAAACACTCTCTGTGACCCAAGAAACACTCTGTGTGACCCTGATTAACACTTATTTATCTTTAACACTTATTTTTCTTAAAACTGCATTGTTGGTTAATGGCTTGTAAGTAAGCATTTCACTGTAAGGTCTACACCTGTTGTATTTGGCGCATGTGACAAATAACATTTGATTTACAGCTCACTGCAGTTAAATGTTAAAATAGTGAATGAATTAATTTGTAATTGCACAAAAATTTAAAAAAATAAGCAATGATTGCTAAATGCATAGATAGGTGCACATTTGCTCATACAGGTGCCGAATGTTCAAAATTGCATAATCAGTGTTATATTATTTTTTGTTCCTTTGCAGCTGCCGTACCAATGTGGTTGAGTGTGAAGTTGAGGGTGGTGGACACAGCAGAGCCCAGCTTGTTAGAGGAGCTGGCCCACACGGAGTACTTAGTCTGGACAGAACCAGACACAGAGAAATGAGCTGAGACTAGACCAGGATCAGACCTGGAACCAGAACCAGGGTAGGATACAGATCCTGCTGTGCTGTTACCAAACACAGCTCTCACCCTGAAACACATGAAACACATACAAGTCATTCTTTACTTTACAGTACACCTCATCCATACCAGCTGGGTGTTCTATCTCATGTGCATTTTCCTTTTCTTTTTTTCTCTTTTTGTTTTATTCTCCGTATTTGAGTCTGTATGGGGAAAAACTATACTGAGCAGAACATAACAGTGATGAGTCTGTTTTTACTTAAACTTGTCGTTGTCTTGCCATATTGGGTTGTTGGTAGCAGAAGTATGCTTGACCACCAAGGCTGCTCCAACATGTGAGAGAGACCAACAACCCTGCGATTCCTCAGCTCAGATCCCTATTAAGCTATGATTTGATACATGACACAGTACTGCCTGTCCCTTTCTCTTTCTCTTCCAAACTCACCAGAGCTTTGAAGTGGTTGTCAGGTGAGTTTCCCTTCCTCTCCTCCATTGACACATCACCTCTCCAAATTCTCCTTTCTGGATGCAGGTTACATTTTCTGGCAGGTCAGGTGGGTCTGCAAGGTAACCATGACAATACATCAACAACACGAAAGGACATGGTCTGGGACAAAGTGTTTTTCTCATTGTGCTTTGGACCAGTAACCAGCATGTGATGGTCTTGCTCCTTTAAAGACCACTGACATGAGAGTTAGATGTGTATCATTTAAACTTGCACCTCTGACACACCTGTTAGAAGTGCTGACACTGACATGGGTTGAACTAGTTAGTAGTCAGACTAGTAGGCTCCAAGAGGTATAGAGCAAACTTTATAATGCAACTCCTCCACCACATGTTGCACTTAAAGACTACTTGATGAAAATATGTCACACTGCATATCTGACTGGCTAATTCAGGGAGCGGTGTTTGCATCATGAGTGTCAAAACGCACAAGTTGTTTTTCTCCATCTCTCCCATTCAGTTTGGTTTCACAGCCCCAGCCCTATAGTTACTCTCAGCAAGTTATTCTGGTCACTGTCAACGCTTTAGTTAAGTATTGCAGAGTGCTCTGGTATTGCAGAATACTCTATTGCAGAGTATACTATTCCATACTTACATCCAGTATCAATGTCGAGTCCACAAGGCTCAGGTTCTCCTTCACACAAGCAGGTGTACGTTGTGTTTTTACTTATGTTTGTCACATTAAGGAATATAGTTGTAGAGTTGTAGGGCTGCATTTGATGTGTTTTCTTCTTGTCTATGTGCATTGATTTGGAAGCTCCACAGCTGGCCTGATAGGTACAGAACACCTGGAAGCTGGAGCCCAGAAGGACCAGGTCCCCAATGCTGGATGATGCAGTACACGGCTTATCAGCTGGAGGCACAACAAAACAACAAAGAAAACTGTTGTTACCTTACTGGGGAATGAACAGAGGAGTAAACTGAAGATGAGCAAAATAGTCAGCAACTTTTGAAAGAAAATGGAAGTTAAATAGACTTGTTTTAGCACCATTGTCATAGAAGCGGAACAGAAAACACAGCGGAACAAGGGTCACCAGCACTGGTTTTGGTAAGCTACAGGGTGTGCAGGTTTTTGTTATAACCCACCAATAACACACCATAAATATTATATATTTGTAGAATCAGGTGTGTTCATGCTGGGCTAGAATAAAAGCCTGCGCTCAATACTGTACAATACTGTAGTTTGGTGACTATTGGCACACAGAGAAGTGAGACAGCAAGAAATCAGCTCATACTATTAGAGATATATTCAGAGGGTGTTTATTAAAAGATCAAGTGTCCTCCTTCAGCATATGAGAACAGTTCAAGGCAAACGCAGACTTGCAGAGTACACGGTCTGTGGACAGGGAGAAATGGTGTCTTGGACATTGTATGAATCTATCTTGGACAAATGCTTTGAAGTATCACTAAGGAAGAATATCACGTGTTCTTGACATGACTCTTATTAGGTAGCCTACATGATTGGTGAATAGACCACTTACCTCTACTGGACCCTATGGCACACAGGAAAGTGATGCCAATGAGGATAGACCACCAACCATGGGGTGAATAAGCCATTGGTCCTCTGGGTTGTTCACTATCAGTGGTGAGTTGCATTCCGTTTGTGTATCATAGCTAAAGGTCCGTGGGGTCTTTCAGTCTCACTACAGAAATAAACATTTTATTTATTAAATACACTATCTTTTTGACAACAATATCTATTTTAAATGTTTAAGAAAAGAAAAAGAAAATTAATGCTCATCTTCCCATGCATGTTGAACATTGCTCAATGTTCACAATAAAACCATATCAGATTATTGATTGAGATTATTCTGATAACTCAAATGGTTGATCCTGTACTACAATAATCAACTGTAGCAATTTAGTAAAATACACCATGAATGTAGGCTGTATAAAAACAGAAAACACCACTCACCCAGCTCTGACATCATACAGTTGATAATTCCCCACCAAACAGCATTTGTTAATTATCACAACGTGCTCCCTATGTTTATACTTACACTAATTTGACATTTCTGAGTGTCTTCTTAGTCCAGTGCAGTGTGTGTCAGTGGTTTGGCTGAAAGCGTGCGAGCCTGTTTTGGTTGAGATGCGTGTCAGTTGACATTTGACTAGACCAACCCTCATCTCAGTTCCTCTGCTATGTCCTCTGCGGGTTGAACAGAGCATGACAAGTAGCCTACACATATGAGCCCAATCCTAAAACGGCTGTGTGCACACAGGCAACCCAATTCTGATCTTTTTTTCCACTAATTGGTCTTTTGACCAATCACATCAGATATTTTCACATCAGATATTTTTCAGCACTGATGTGATTGGTCAAAAGACCATTTTGGAAAAAAAAGATCAGAATTTGTCTGCCTGTCTAAATGCAGCCATGGTGACATACCAGGTGAGTGATATTTGCCGGTTGTAGGGGATCCCCCATCTCACACTGAATTTGGAGATTAACACTTTTTACAGATGTTCTCCCCTCACAAGACTGGATGTCTAACATCTTCTCTAATCCTCTTCTGTCCTTCATCTGCACTGATTTTAAAACACAAGACAAATGAAAGCAATATTGCGGAGGCCTCTCGGGAAATTTGATTTCATTAGTCCAGAAAGTTTAGATAAGAGCAAATGAAGGAAAGGAGATGAAGATACAAGGAGACAAGGGAATGAGAGGAGGCATCGTAAACTATTGAGATGCACCCTCAGTTTTCTGAGCTCTCAGGGAGGAAGTGTGAAGTATTTTTCAGGAAGTCACTATAACTGCCTGGTACAGCAGGTGGCTCTATGAGGAGAACACAGCCCTGGCACAGATCTATGGATCAGTTTACCCTGCATTACTATACCATTACCATTATACCATGTTACACAGTGGTGTGCAAAGACTGTATCACTCATTTCTCAGATGCAGAATATAACTGTGTTGTAAACTTAACATGTCCTCAACATCCGTCTGCTTTGGGCAAGAAACCCATTGTGTGGTACAGTATAGATCAATAGACACACAGTGATTGACAGGGAAACATTTATCAACAAATCAAAAGAGAACCATCGTGCTCTTCCAGAAGCGTGGCTGGTGCGTAAAACCCGCTAATTCAGATAAACAAAGGGGTGTAATGGGTTCGCACTCATTTATCAACAGAAAGACTCTTTATAGTGAACAATAATCTGTATATAGCAGCGAGCAGAAATTGTTATAAATCCACAGTTACAGTATATCATGTAATTGAGGTATGTGTCCTTTCAGTCCGTTCATCATTCTGAAACAATGGTATGGCTGTAAACTTTGCTAGAATTGTATTAAAGTCCATTCATTGGAACTGTTGTTCAGATGGGCAGAAAAATGCCTTTCCTCTCATCACTAAAGGATGGAGAATATAATGCTTTAAAGATGTCTCTGTCAGTGGTTGTAGGTAGTGGTGTTGAGGTCAGCAGCCTGGGGGAAGTAACCAGTGGTCAGTGTCTTAGCCAGACAGCTGACTGGGTCCTCCAGAGCCACATTCTGTCCTTGTGCTGAGTCCAGAGAGCCAAGGCCCACCTCCACCTCCAACCCCTTTTCTTCCAGCCACGTGTCCCCAGAAAAGAGGCTTGTTATCTTGGGAGGGCTTGGGGAGGTGTGCCGCCCCATTGAGATCAGATCCAGTCCTGGAGAAATGCCAGAGAAATCTACTGTTACATTACACAGCCAGCCTCCTAGCAGTCCTCCGGACTCCTCAGGGCATCTGTCTGTTCTCTTACAGCTGGGAATGTGTCCCCTGTATTCCTCCTTCTCCTTCTTGTCTCGTGGAGCTGTGGTTGTAATCTGAGGTTTGTATCCGATATTCCCCAGAGGTGCTGCTGTGCATTCGGTCTGTGTCGTCCCTTCTCCTGTCCCCTCTCCTCCCCCGGCCCTGGCTCCAGCCTGGAGACGCTTGATGTGGATGATGGGGTACAGTTTCTCCCTCTCCCCAGGAGGGATCTCCTCAATGGGGGACAGCGGTGGGTCACTGAGGGTGAACAGCCAGGACGAAGCTGGGTCCACTGGCTCTTCATTCTGTAGGAGGACAATACAAACACAGAGGTTATAATGAAAGCTAGTAGGCCTGGTTTAGATGACAGGGGTCTAATTGTTTATTTGGATCCACAAGAAACACAAAACATGACAAGTAACAAAACACTGATACACTGACAGACAAGAACAGTCACAAAGGGTGGCTATTTGAAGAATCTCAAATATAAAATATATTTTGATTTGTTTAACACTTTTTGGTTACTACATGATTCCATATGTGTTATTTCATAGTTTTGATGTCTTCACTATTATTCTACAATGTAAAAAATAGTAAAAATAAAGAAAAACCCTTGAATGAGTAGGTGTGTCCAAACCTTTGACTGGTAGTGTAAGTATTCACACGCCTTTACTATGCCACTCGAAATTGAGCTCAGGTGCATCCAATTTCCTTTGATCATCCTTGAGATGTCACTACAATTTGATTGGAGTCCACCTGTGCCCAGTTTGGACATGATTTAGAAAGAAACACACCTCGGAGAGTATTCAGACCCCTTGACCTTTTCCATATTTTGTTACGTTACAGCCTTATTCTAAAATGGATTTTTTTTTAAATAATCCTGAGCAATCTACATACAATACCCCATAATGACGAAGGGAAAACAGGTTTTTAGACATTTTTGCAAATGTATAATTTAAAAAAGAATAATACCTTATTTGTATAAGTATTCAGACTCAAAATGTATCTCAGGTGCATCCTGTTTCCATTGATTATCCTTGAGATGTTCCTACAACTTGATTGGAGTCCACCTGTGGTAAATTCAATTGATTGGACATGATTTGGAAAGGCACACAACTGTCTATATAAAGTCCCACAGTTGACAGTGCATGTCAGGGCAAAAACCAAGCAATGATGTCGAAGGAATTGTCCGTAGAGCTCCGAGACAGGATTGTGTCGAGGCACAGATCTGGGGAATGGTACCAAAAAATGTCTGCAGCATTGAAGATTCCCAAGAACACAATGGCCTCCATCATTCTTAAATGGAAGAAGTTTGGAACCACCAAGACTCTTCCTAGAGCTGGCCGCCCGGCCAAACTGAGCAATTGGGGGAGAAGGGCCTTGGTCAGGGAGGTGACCAAGAACCCGATGGTCACTCTGACAGAGCTCTAGAGTTCCTCTATGGAGATGGGAGAACCTTGATGAAAACCTGCTCCAGTGCGCTCAGGACCTCCGACTGGGGCAAAGGTTCACCTTCCAAGCACACAACCAAGAAAGGCTTCGGGACAAGTCTCTGAATGTCCTTGAGTGGCCCAGCCAGAGCCCGGACTTGAACCCGATCAAACATCTCTGGAGAGACCTGAAAATAGCTGTGCAGCAACGCACCCCATCCAACCTGACAGAGCTTGAGAGGATCTGCAGAGAAGAATGGGAGAAACTCCCCAAATACAAGTGTGCCAAGCTTGTAGCGTCATACCCAAGAAGACTCAATGCTGTAATCGCTGCTAAAGGTGCTTCAACAAAGTACTGAGTAAAGGGTCTGAATATTTATTTAAATGTGATTTTCCGTTTTTTATTTTATAAATTATAAATTAGCAAGAAATTCAAAAAACCTGTTTTTGCTTTGTCATTATGGGATATTGTTTGTAGATTGATGAGGGGGAAAACTATTTAATCAATTTTAGAATTAGGCTGTAACATAACAAAATGTGGAAAAAGTCAAGGGGTCTAAATACTTTCCGAAGGCACTGTAAGGTCCCACAGTTGACAGTGCTGGTCAGAGCAGAAACTATACCATGAGGTTGAAAGAACTGTCCATAGATCTTCGAGATATATCTGGGAAAGGAGGTATAAAACAATTTCTAAAGTGTTGAACGTTTCCAAGAGCACAGTGGTCTCCATCATTGGGAAATGGAAAGAATATCGAACTACCCAGACTCTGCCTAGAGCTGGCCGTCTGACCAAACTGAGCAACCGGGCAAGAAGGACTTTGGTCAGGTAAGTGACCAAGAACCCAATGACCACTCTGACAGAACTACAGAGTTCCTTGGCTGAGATGGGATAACCTGCCAGAAGGACAACAGTCTCTACAGCATTTCACCAATCTAGGCTTTATGGGAGAGTGGCCAGTCGGAAGCCACTCCTGAGAAAAGGCACATGACAGCACGTCTGGAGTTTGCAAAAAGTTACGTGAAAGACTCAGAGAGCATAAAGCAAAAGATTCTGTGGTCTGATGAGACGTAAATGTAACTCTTTGGCCTGAATGCAAATTGCTATGTCTAGAGAAAACCAGGCACAGCTCATCACCCGTCTAACACCATCCCTACCATGAATCATGGTGGTGACAGCATCATGCTATGGGGATACTTTTCAGCAGCAGAGACTGGGAGACTGGTAAGGATAGAGGGAACAATGAATGGAGCCAAATACAGGTAAATCCTTGATGAGAACCTGCTTCAGAGTGCAAACGACCTTAGACTGGGGCAAAGATTTATGTTTCAACAAGACAATGACCCCAAGCATACATCCAAAGCAATGCTGAAATGGCTTCAGAACAAGAATATGAAAGTCCTTGAGTGGCCCAACCAAAGCCCAGACTTGAATCCCATTGAAAATCTGTGGAAAGACTTGAAGGTTGCTGTTCACCGCCACTCCATCTAACTTAACACAGCTTGAGAAAATCTGCAAGGAAGAATGGGTGAAAATCCCCAAATCCAGATGTGCAAAGCTGATACAGACATACCCAAGACGACTCAAAGCTGTAATCGCCGCCAAAGGTGCTTCTACAAAGTATTGACTCGGGTGTGTGAATACTTATGTAAATGAGATATACAGTCCCAGTCAAAAGTTTGGACACACCTACTCATTAAATTCTTCTTTATTTTTACTATGTTCTACATTGTAAAATAATAGTGAAGACATCAAAACTATGAAATAACACATATGGAATCATGTAGTAAACAAAAAAGTGTTAAACAAATATATATATTTCCTTCAAATAACCACCCTTTGCCTTGATGACAGCTTTGCACACTCTTGGCATTCTCTCAACCAGCTTCACCTGGAATGCTTTTCCAACAGTCTTGAAGGAGTTCCCACATATGCTGAGCACTTGTTGGCTGCTTTTCCTTCACTCTGCGGTCCGACTCATCCCAAACCATCTCAATTGGGTTGAGGTCGGGGGATTGTGGAGGATAGGTCATCTGATGCAGCACTCCATCACTCTCCTTCTTGGTAAAATAGCCCTTACACAGCCTGGTGGTGTGTTGGGTCATTGTCCTGTTGAAAAACAAATGATAGTCCCACTAAGCCCAAACCAGATGGGATGGCGTATCGCTGCAGAATGCTGTGGTAGCCATGCTGGTTAAGTGTGCCTTGAATTCTAAATAAATCACAGATAGTGTCACCAGCAAAGCACCCCCACATCATAACACCTCCTCCTCCATGCTTTACGTTGGGAACTACACATGTGGAGATCATCCATTCACCCACACTGCGTCTCACAAAGACACGGCGGTTGGATCCAAAAATCTCAAATTTGGACTCCAGACCAAAATACAAATTTCCACCGGTCTAATGTCCATTGCTCTTGTTTCTTGGCTCAAGCAGGTCTCTTCTTATTATTGGTGTCCTTTAGTAATGGTTCCTTTGCAGTAATTCGACCACATCTGGGTGGAGGCGACGGAATGTTGTTATCAGCCCTGGGTCCAGAATGTCCCTCCTGGGCACCCAGGACCGCTCCTCCGGCCCATAACCCTCCCAATCCACCAGAAATTGGAGACCCCTCTCCAACCGCCGGCAGTCCAGGATCCGGTCCACAGTAAAAGCCGGCTGCCCTCCGATGAGGTGCAGAGGGGGAACAGGACGAGGAGGGGGAGCCAGGGGACAGGTGGCAAAGGGCTTGAGGAGAAACACATGGAATGTGGAATGCACATGCATGGAGGGGGGAAGTCGCAGGCGGTAGGCCACTGGGTTGACTCGCTGGACCACTCTAAATGGCCCCACGAACCGGGGGGACAGCTTCCTGGACTCCACGCGGAGGGGAAGATCCTGCGTGGAGAGCCACACCCTCTGTCCCGGGCGAAAAACCGGGGCCGGCCGACGCCTGAGGTTGGCCTGATGTTGATACCTGACCGAGGCCCGCTCAAGCGGCGCCCGTACCTGCCTCCAGGTACGGCGACAGTGACTGATGTGGGCCTGGACCGACGGAACCACCGCCTCCTCCTCTTGCTCGGAGAATAGGGGTGGGGGGGGGGGGGGGGTTGGTACCCATATTGGCACTGGAAGGGGGACAGGCCAGTGGATGAGCAGAGAAGGGTGTTGTGGGCGTACTCAGTCGCTGACTCCACATAGCTGGGTTGCTGGAGGCGTAGCACCTCAGCACCACCTCCAGATCCTGGTTGATGTGCTCCGTCTGCCCGTTCGACTGGGGATGGAAGCCATAAGACAAGCTGACTGAGGCGCTGAGGCAGGTGGCGAACGCCTTCCAGAACCTGGAGGCGAACTGAGGGCCCCGATCCGACACCACATCTTGGGGAAGGCCGTGAACCCGGAAAACGTGCTGCACCACCAACTTAGCCATCTCCCGGGCCGATGGGAGTTTGAGAAGGGGAATGAAGTGGGCAGCCTTCGAAAACCGGTCCACAACGACCAGGATGACTGTGTATCCATCAGAGGGGGGTATAGCGGGAAAAAAGAAATCCAGCGAGATGTGGGACCAGGGGCGCTTGAGGATAGGCATGGGTCGGACCAGCCCTGCCGCGGGCTGACGTGAGCTCTTCGTGTGCGCGCACACAGGGCAAGCAGCCACAAAGGCGCGCGTATCCCCCTCAGCTGAACGCCACCAGAACCTCCTATGCAGGAACTCCAATGTCCAGGCGCCCCCCGGATTGCTGGTGAGGTTGGACGCGTGCGCCCACTGAAGCAGTCGCGAGCACACTGCCTTGGGTACGTACATCCTCCCCGATGGACCTCCGCCCGGATCGAGCTCCCGCCGTAGCGCTGCTCTGACCAGCCTATCGATTCCCCACGAAACTGGGACAGCAATCAGGGCATTGGGGACAATGGGGTTGTCCCTCTCCACCAGGTCCACGGGGTCGAACTGCCGGGAGAGCACGTCAAGCTTGGTGTCCTTCAACCCCAGACGGTATGAGATCGTGAACCGGAACCTGGTGAAGAACAACGCCCACCTGGCCTGGCGCAAGTTGAGCCTCTTGGCCCACTGAATGTAGGCCCCCTGAATGTAGGCTAAGTTCTTATGGTCAGTCCATATGACGAATGGATGGGTGGCCCCCTCTAGCCAATGCCTCCACTCCCCCAGAGCGAGCTTGACCGCTAGCAGCTCAGGGTTCACCACGTCGTAATTCTGCTCCGCCAGGGACAGCTGACGGGAGAAATATGCGCAGGGGTGAGTCTTACCGTCCGTGAGGAACCGCTGGGACAGGATTGCTCCCACTGCAACGTCTGAAGCATCCACTTCCACAATGAACGGTAGGGACGGATCAGGATGCCCTAGGACCGGGGCTGATGTAAAGCGCCACTTAAGCGCATCGAATGCGTTCCCAGCTTCCGGGGTCCAGGCGAAGGAGCGCACGCTCGTCTGGGTGAGAGCTGTCAGGGGAGCGGCTAGGGAGCTAAAATTGTGATTAAATCGCCTATAAAAATGTGTGAACCCTAAAAACTGTTGTAGTTGCTTGAGGTAGGAGGGCTGGGGCCAATCCAGTACCGCGCAGACCTTGGCTGGGTCCATCCGTAGGTCCCACTTGGTGACGATGAACCCCAGGAAGGAGACTGTCTCCGTGTGGAACACGCACTTCTGCGCCTTGATGTAGAGCTGGTGACGGAGAAGGCGTTGGAGGACCTGTCGAACGTGCTGCTAGTGTTCACTCATGTCCTTTGAAAATATTAGGATATCATCCAAATACACGAACACCGCAGGCACGTTGGCTAGACCGAACGGCATGACTTGGTACTCGTAATGCCCACTGGGTGTGTTAAAAGCCGTCTTCCTCTCGTCCCCCTCCCAAATCCTCACCAGGTTGTAGGCATTTCGTAAGTCCAGCTTGGTGAAGATCCGGGCTCCCTGCAACGACTCAAATGCCGTCGTCATCAGGGGGAGTGGGTAGCGGTTCATAACTGTGATGTCGTTGAGCGCCCGGTAATCAATGCACGGCCGTTGAGTAGACCCTTGGCACGCCTTTTACTAAACACCTCCCCCAGATCCCAATACTCCCGGGGAACGCCTTCCAGGTCTTGGTCGGTGACGGAGTCTGTAGCCACCATCCTCCCTCGTGCTCCGACACCATCCGAGAGGTGTCGAACACCTTGCGTAGCTCCCGGGTGAATTGGTAGGAGTCGGAGCATGCCGGAGTTTGGCTCTCCCACTCCGCAGTAGCCCAAGAAAGGGCGCGACACGTCAACAGAGTGATGATGTAGGCCACCCGGCCCTGCTCTGTCAGGAAGGAGGAGGGTTGTAGGCTGAATACCAGGGAACACTGGGTGAGAAATTCCCTGCAGCCCTCTGGACGTCCATCATACCTCTCCGGAGGTGGTAGGCGGGGTTCCCGCGATGTCGCAGGCGAAACTAGAGACACCGCCGCCGCGGCTTCCGTCCGCCGGCTGCCGGGGCTGGTCGAGTGTCCACCCGGCTCTGCATGGCGATCGTCAGCTGGTGGAGATTCTCGGTGATCTGCAGCAGGCTGCGATCGTGTTGGTTCAGCATAGCTCCCTGCGTTGCCAATGCGCTCCGATACTGTGCTGCCTCCGCTGGGTCCATATTGGCTCAGTTTTCTGTAAGGGTTGGTGTGAGGTGTGACCCAGGTGCGGTGCAGGATAGACAGTAGGCAGTAGGTAGAGATGGTGAAACAAAGATCTTTACTGGTGGTCTCGAAGCCAGGATACAAAACAACAGACTTAACACGATAAAAGAAAGGTGGAGCAAATAAATCTTGAAAAACAGGCTGACAGGCAAAATACAAAATAGTAACTATGACTGAAATAATACAAAAACAGGGAGAACACTTCTCGAGTACCTGTACATACTTCTCCGATCAGACACTGATTAGTACTGCTGAGCATAGAGAAGCTAGCAGAGAAAACTGAGCAAGGGAACACAGGGAAATGAGGGCATAAAAACAGGTAGACACAGGTGACACCAATAGGAACTGCGAATCCCTCCTGTAACAGATCCTTGAATGAGTAGGTGTGTCCAAACTTTTGACTGGTACTGTATATATTTTTTGTACATGTTTTCACTTTGTCATTATGGGGTAATGTGTGTAGATGGGTGAGAATTTGTATTTATTTAATCTATTTTGAATTCAGGCTGTAACACAACAAAATGTGGAATAAGTAAATGGGTTTGAATACTTTCTGAAGGCACTGTACCTCCATACCTCCATACTTCCATTCAATACCATTGTGTTCGTGAGAGTCTCATCTTTCCATAGAGTGGCCAAACCGTTCGAATGCTACAGACGTTTTCGTGAGGATACCGATTTTCGGGATGTCTCCTGGTCTGACGAACAGCGCTGTAGCTCTGCCACTTTCCACCGCAAATGCAGAAGGCCGACATAGGCAGATGCGGTGGATTGAGACGCAGCCCATGCAAAAGACAGATATATCTAACTTAAACTGACAGATTTTGATGGGGAATTTTTAATCATGTTAATTAGATTGACGCACAGGTGCAGCTTCACCAGCTACAGCTTTGCTAGGTATTGCTTTGCTGCAGTTGACCATATTACCAGACAGCAATAAAGATGGGACAAGACCAGAGCCTGAACAACTACTACAGTTGATGTGTCAAAAACGCAGAACATATATTTTTTAACAGACATACCCCTCCACATCTTCACAACAACTTTGTCAATATGACTTGATCATGATAATTAACTATCCAATGTTATACCTAGGAGTTTAGCTTCCTCAACTTGCTCAATGGTTACACCCTTTATGTACAACTCCAGTTGAGGTTTAGGTCTTAGAGAATGTTTTGAACCAAATACAATGCTTTTAGTTTTAGATGTATTTAAGACCAGTTTATTATTAATCACCCATTCTGATACTGACTGTAACTCCTGCAAACTCACTAGCTTTGGGTGCTGGCATGGAGTGTGGAATCCTCAGCATACATATTTATTCTAGCTTCGTGTAAGACCAGTGACAAATCATTTGTAAAAATAGAGAAGAGTAACGGCCCAAGGCCCTGAGGGACACCGCACTGTACATACAGTGAGGGGGAAAAGTATTTGATCCCCTGCTGATTTTGTACGTTTGCCCACTGACAAAGACATGATCAGTCTATAATTTTAATGGTAGGTTTATTTGAACAGTGAGAGACAGAATAACAACAACAAAATCCAGAAAAACGCATGTCAAAAATGTTATAAATTGATTTGCATTTTAATTAGTACTTAGTGGCAAAACCCTTGTTGGAAATCACAGAGGTCAGACGTTTCTTGTAGTTGGCCACCAGGTTTGCTCACATCTCAGGAGGGATTTTGTCCCACTCCTCTTTGCAGATCTTCTCCAAGTCATTAAGGTTTCGAGGCTGACGTTTGGCAACTCAAACCTTCAGCTCCCTCCACAGATTTTCTATGGGATTAAGGTCTGGAGACTGGCTAGGCCATTCCAGGACCTTAATATGCTTCTTCTTGAGCCACTCCTTTGTTGCCTTGGCCGTGTGTTTTGGGTCATTGTCATGCTGGAATACCCATCCACGACCCATTTTCAATGCCCTGGCTGAGGGAAGGAGGTTCTCACCCAAGATTTGACGGTACATGGCCCCGTCCATCGTCCCTTTGATGCGGTGAAGTTGTCCTGTCCCCTTGGCAGAAAAACACCCCCAAAGCATAACGTTTCCACCTCCATGTTTGACGGTGGGGATGGTGTTCTTGGGGTCATAGGCAGCATTCCTCCTCCTCCAAACACGGCGAGTTGAGTTGATGCCAAAGAGCTCAATTTTGGTCTCATCTGACCACAACACTTTCACCCAGTTCTCCTCTGAATCATTCAGATGTTAATTGGTAAACTTCAGACGGGCATGTATATGTGCTTTCTTGAGCAGGGGGACCTTGCGGGCGCTGCAGGATTTCAGTCCTTCACGGCGTAGTGTGTTACAAATTGTTTTCTTGGTGACTATGGTCCCAGCTGCCTTGAGATCATTGACAAGATCCTCCCGTGTAGTTCTGGGCTGATTCCTCACCGTTCTCATGATCATTGCAACTCCACAAGGTGAGATCTTGCATGGAGCCCCAGGTCGAGGGAGATTGACAGTTCTTTTGTGTTTCTTCCATTTGCGAATAATCACACCAACTGTTGTCACCTTCTCACCAAGCTGCTTGGCGATGGTCTTGTAGCCCATTCCAGCCTTGTGTAGGTCTACAATCTTGTCCCTGACATCCTTGTAGAGCTCTTTGGTATTGGCCATGGTGGAGAGTTTGGAATCTGATTGATTGATCGCTTCTGTGGACAGGTGTCTTTTATACAGGTAACAAACGGAGATTAGGAGCACTCCCTTTAAGAGTGTGCTCCTAATCTCAGCTCGTTACCTGTATAAAAGACACCTGGGAGCCAGAAATCTTTCTGATTGAGAGGGGGTCAAATACTTATTTCCCTCATTAAAATGCAAATCAATTTATAACATTTTCGACATGCATTTTTCTGGATTTTTTTGTTGTTATTCTGTCTCTCACTGATCAAATAAATCTACCATTACAATTATAGACTGATCATTTCTTTGTCAGTGGGCAAATGTGCAAAATCAGCAGGGGATCAAATAATTTTTTCCCCTCACTGTATCTGATGTTAGAGAAGCTTCCATTGAAGAACACTATCTGGGTTCTGTTGGATAAATAACTCTCCAACCATGTGATGTCAGGTGATGTGAAGCCATAGCAAGTGCATTTTTTCAATAAAAATGTATGATCAATAACATCAAAGGCTGCACTGAAATCTAACAATACAGCTCCAACTATCATCTTATTATTCATTTCTTTTAACCAATCATCAGTCACCATTTATTTTAACCAATCATCAGTCATCTGAGTCAGTGCAGTACAACTTGAGTGCCCTTCTCTATATGCATGATGAAAGTCAGTAGTTAACTTATTCTCTGAAAAATAGCATTGTATTTGGTCAAACACAATCCTCTCCATCAGTTTACTAAGGCAGCAAACTGATTGGGCGACTGCTAGAGCAGGCAAAGGGTGCTAGGCTCATGTCTTGGCTCATGTCTTGGCTCATGTCTTGGGTTTTTACAGAAAGGCTTTAGGCCAGGGGTAGTTGGGTCGGTAGTCATTTAGGCAGGTTATCTTAGTGTTCTTGGGCACAGGGACTATGGTGGTCTGCTTGAAACATGTTGGTATTACAGACTCAGTCAGGGACATGTTGAAAATGTCAGCGAAGACACTTGCCAGTTGGTCAGCGCATGCTCGGAGTACACGTCCTGGTAATCAGTCTGAATGTTGACCTGCTGAAAAGTCTTACTCACATCGGCTACGGAGAGCGTGATCACATAGTCATCCGGAACAGCTGATGCTCTCATGCATGCTTGTTGCTTGCTTTGAAGTGAGCATAGAAGTGATTTAGCTCGTCTGGTAGGCTTGGGTCACTGGGCAGCTGGCGGTTGTGCTTGCCTTTGTAGTCTGTAATAGTTTTCAAGCCCTGCCACATCCGACGAGTGTCAGAGCCGGTGTAGTACGATTCAATCTTAGTCCTGTATTGACTCTTTGCCTGTTTGATGGTTCGTCGGAGGGCATAGCGGGAGTTCTTATAAGCGTCCGGGTTAGAGTCCCGCTCCTTGAAAGCGGCAGCTCTACTCTTTAGCTCAGTGCGGATGTTGCCTTTAATCCATGGCTTCTGGTTGGGGTATGTACGTAAGGTCACTGTGGGGACGACGTCATCAATGCACTTATTTATGAAGCCTGATGTGGTGTACTCCTCAATGCTATCAGAAGAATCCCGGAACATATTCCAGTCTGTGCTAGCAAAACAGTCCTGTAGCTTACCATCTGCGTCATCTGACCACTTCCTTATTAACCGAGTCACTAGTGCTTCCTGCTTTAGTTTTTGCTTATAAGCAGGAATCAGGAGGATAGAGTTATGGTCAGATTTGCCAAATGGAGGGCGAGGGAAGCTTTGTACACGTCTCTGTGTGTGGAGTAAAGGTGATCTAGAGTTTTTTTTCCCTCTGGTTGCACATTTAACATGCTGGTAGAAATTAGGTAGAACGGATGTAAGTTTCCCTGCATTAAAGTCCCCGGCCACTAGGAGTGCTGCCTCTGGATGAGCGTTTTCCTGTTTACTTATGGCCTATTACAGCTCATTGAGTGTAATCTTAGTGCAAGCATCGGTTTGTGGTGGTAAATAGACAGCTACAAAAAATATAGATGAAAACTCTCTTGGTAAATAGAGTGGTCTACAGCTTATCACGAGATACTCTACCTCAGGCGAGCAAAACCTTGAGACTTCCATAGTATCAACACCTCCCCCATATTGTGAAACGTTAATATTGCGTTCTGAAAGAGGTGGATGTGTTTATATTGCATTCTGATAGAGGTATCCGTGTTTATATTGGATTCTGAAAGTGGTGGAAGTATTTCTATTGCATTCTGAAAGATGTAGACGTGTATATTTTGCATTCTGAAAGATTATTCGTTTTTCCTTGTTTGGTCGTGTGACTCCCAATCAGTGGTAACGAGTGTCAGCTGTCGGCTCGTTATCTCTGATTGGGAGCCATATTTAAACTGTCAGTGTTCACCTTAGTGTTGTGGGTTTTTGTTCCTGTACAGTCATTGTCACTGTGGACTTCACGTATCGTCATTGTTTGTTGTTTTGGTGTTCAGTACTTTAATTAAATAAAGTCATGTTCGCTCAACGCGCTGCGCTTTGGTCTCATTCGTCAGACGATCGTGACAGAAAAACCCACCGTACCAGGACCAAGCAGCCTGTCCAGGAGCCAGGGGTCTGGACATGGGAGGAGATTTTGGATGGAAAAGGGTATTGGACTTGGGAGGAAATCCTGGATGGGATGGATCGCCGGCCATGGAGTAAAACAGTGGAGAGGCGACTGAGAGAGGAGCAACGGCGTCAGCAGGGCCATCGTCGGAGGGACGAGAGGCAACCCCAAAAAGTTTTTGGGGGGGGGGCACATGGCTTGGGCGGCTGGGCAGCAGGAGGCTGCCACAGGGAGACGTGGAGAGAAGGCTACCGGATTACGGGAGCCATTGGCGAGTAGAGGGAGGGAAGTAGTTGAGGCACGGCGTGAGAGACTGAGGTGTGTTACCAGTCCGGTCCGGCCCGTTCCTGATCCCCGGTTAAGGCCAGTGGTGTGTGTTCCCAGTACGGACCGGCCTGTTCCTACTCCACGCACCAAGCCCACGGTGTGCGTCGCCAGTCCAGCCCGGCCGGTTCCTGCTCCACGTACTAAGCCTACGGTGTACGTCGCCAGCCCAGCCCGGCCTGTTCCTGCTTCTCGCATCAAGCCTACGGTGTGCGTCGCCAGCCCAGCCCGGCCTGTTCCTGCTCCACGCACAAAACCTACGGTGTGCGTCGCCAGCCCAGCCCGGCCTGTTCCCGCTCCACGCACAAAACCTACGGTGTGCGTCGCCAGCCCAGCCCGGCCTGTTCCTGCTCCACGCACAAAGCCTACGGGGTGCGTCGCCAGCCCAGCCCGGCCTGTTCCTGCTCCACGCACAAAACCTACGGGGTGCGTCGCCAGCCCAGCCCGGCCTGTTCCTGCTCTACGCACAAAGCCTACGGGGTGCGTCGCCAGCCCAGCCCGGCCTGTTCCTGCTCCACGCACAAAACCTACGGGGTGCGTCGCCAGCCCAGCCCGGCCTGTTCCTGCTCTACGCACAAAGCCTACGGGGTGCGTCGCCAGCCCAGCCCGGCCTGTTCCTGCTCCACGCACAAAACCTACGGTGTGCGTCGCCAGCCCAGCCCGGCCTGTTCCTGCTCTACGCACAAAGCCTACGGTGTGCGTCGCCAGCCCAGCCCGGCCTGTTCCTGCTCTACGCACAAAGCCTACGGGGTGCGTCGCCAGCCCAGCCCGGCCTGTTCCTGCTCCACGCACAGAACCTACGGTGTGCGTCGTCAGCCCAGCCCGGCCTGTTCCTGCTCCACGCACAAAACCTACGGTGTGCGTCGCCAGCCCAGCCCGGCCTGTTCCTGCTACTCGCACCAAGCCAAGGGTGCGAGTCGTCAGCCTGGACCAGCCCGTTCCTGCTACTCGCACCAAGCCAAGGGTGCGAGTCGTCAGCCTGGTCCAGCCCGTTCCTGCTACTCGCACCAAGCCAAGGGTGCGAGTCGTCAGCCTGGTTCAGCTCGTCCCTGCTACTCGCACCAAGCCAAGGGTGCGAGCCGTCAGCCTGATCCAGCCCATTCCTACTACTCGCACCAAGCCAGGGATGCGAGTCGTCAGCCTGGTGAGGCCCGTTCCGGCTCCACGCATCAAGCCTAGGGTGCGTATCGTCAGCCAGGTCCGGTCCGTTCCTGCCTCACGCGCCAAGCCAGGGGTGCGCGTCGTCAGTCCAGATCCTACCAGCTGGGTCAGATCGGACCGGGGGCGCTACGGGGGGATTGAAGAAGGGTGGTGGTCAAGCCCGGAGCCGGAGCCGCCTCCGAGGAGTAATGCCCACCCAGCCCTCCCCTGTTTGGGGTTTTTGAGGCGCGGTCGCAGTCCGCGCCTTTAGGGGGGGGTACTGTCACGCTCTGGCTCCGGGACTTTGTATGTTGAGCCAGGGTGTGTTCGTTTTGTTGTGTTTGGTTTGGTTTTGGTTGTGTTTCCTTGTTTGGTCGTGTGACTCCCAATCAGTGGTAACGAGTGTCAGCTGTCGGCTCGTTATCTCTGATTGGGAGCCATATTTAAACTGTCAGTGTTCACCTTAGTGTTGTGGGTTTTTGTTCCTGTACAGTCATTGTCACTGTGGACTTCACGTATCGTCATTGTTTTGTTGTTGGTGTTCAGTACTTTAATTAAATAAAGTCATGTTCGCTCAACGCGCTGCGCTTTGGTCTCATTCGTCAGACGATCGTGACAGTAGAAGTATTTATATTGCATTCTGAAAGATGTAGATGCGTTTATATTGCGTTCTGAAAGAGGTAGACAGGGAGGTGAAGACACTATTTTTCTGTTAGTAGATTACCTTCAGTAGTCTGATAGCATTGCTGTTTCCAGGCTTGGGGAGGTTCTCAGAAAGCCAGACAGGGCCCAGGGATAGACATGTCTGTTTGATCCTGCAGGGGATGGAAGTCTCATAATGAGCTGGGTTGTTTACTGCTTGTTTGCTGTTGATCACTTTATCTCATATTGGGGTTGCGTTATTATGAGGTTGTGTGGTTGTGACCAGTTTTGCTCAGCTCTTTAGGCAATACAGTGCATTACAGTGCATGCAGTAAATATTGCATACAAACAGATGTGTTAACCACAATGCTCACCACAGTCAAAAATAAAATAGTCAACCTCACGAGCACAGTAAACTCAAAAACAGAAAGAGTACAGTACATCTTTGGAGAGTAAGTACCAGAAAGTATACACTGTCTGTTACCACGTCAACTAAATAATAAAAAGCTGTAACAGGATTGTAAACGTAAGCGTCATCAGGCCAACATCTCTGTCAGCTTGGTACCTTTTCCTCACACAGCTCCAACACATCAGGTTCGCCATTATCACCATGACGATGGTTGCCACGAGCGACACGCCAGCCACCAACCCAACTAGAGAAGAACGGGGTACATGTTAGCAAACGACAGCACACTGTAAGAACAGGCTAAGACATCCGAGAGGCAATCATAGTGTGTTTGGAACAGAGTGAATTGAAGGATTGATTGGTTTGGAACGTGGCCAAGGTGGTGAATTAGCCTCTACGACAATCCTGATCTCACGAGCTTACATTCTAGCAAAACAGAATGCAAGCTCGCAAGATCAGGATGTTCATACAAGGCTAGTTGTGAATGTGACTGACCTGCAGAGCTTAGGGAGGGAGTGAGTTGTTGTGAGTAAGTTTGGAACATGGCCATGGTAGTGAATGTGAGTGACCTGCCGGGCTAAGGGAAGGAGGGAGGGAGGGAGTTTGGAACGTGGCCATGGTTGTGAATTTGGCTGACCTGCAGGGCTGAGGGAGGGAGGGAGGGAGTTAGTTTGGAATGTGGCCATGGTTGTGAATGTGACTGACCTGCAGTGACTGGAGACTGCGAGAATAGCCACTCCCCCTGTGGTCCTTCCCCTGCAGCCGTGGAGGCAGACACTCTGAGGGCCACGGCCCCCTCAGGACAGTCCAGCCACCTCTGACTGGGCTCTGACCCTGATACAGTCACTGGAGAGAGGACAGCGGACCAGAGATATATAGCATTTGACCATGTACACAATCAATGAATCAATCACGCCAGCCACCAACCCAACTAGAGAAGAACGGGGTACATGTTAGCAAACGACAGCACACTGTAAGAACAGGCTAAGACATCCGAGAGGCAATCATAGTGTGTTTGGAACAGAGTGAAGTGAAGGATTGATTGGTTTGGAACGTGGCCAAGGTGGTCCTTGGTCCTCTGTAGCTCAGCTGGTAGAGCACGGCGCTTGTAACGCCAAGGTAGTGGGTTCGATCCCCGGGACCACCCATACAAAAAAAAAAATGTATGCACTCATGACTGTAAGTCGCTTTGGATAAAAGCGTCTGCTAAATGGCATTTTATTATTATTAATCAACAACTCAAACAATCAATCAATCAACCAATCAATTAAAAGGGCAATCAGCAGATGCTTTATCCATTATTGTACCCATTGATTCTTGAAGAATATAACTTATAAATGCCAAACAAATAAAAATATATTATATATTTTAGATTCTTGTAGTAACCAAAAAAGTGTTAAACAAATAAAAATATATTTTATATTTGAGATTCTTCAAAGTACCCACCCTTTGCCTTGATGACAGCTTTGCACACTCTTGGCATTCTCTCAACTAGCTTCACCTGGAATGCTTTTCCAACAGTCTTGAGGGAGTTTCCACATGTGCTGAGGACTTGTTGGCTGCTTTTCCTTTACTCTGCGGTCCAACTCATCCCAAACCATCTCAATTGGGTTGAGGTCAGGTGATTGTGGAGGCCAGGTCATCTGATGCAGCACTCCATCACTCACCTCCTTGGTCAAATAGCCCTTACACAGCCTTGAGGTGTGTTGGGTCATTGTCCTGTTGAAAAACAAATGATAGTCCCACTAAGCGCAAACCAGATGGGATGGCGTATCGCTGCAGAATGCTGTGGTAGCCATGCTGGTTAAGTGTGCCTCATCAGACCAAAGGACAGATTTCCACTGGTCTATTGTCCATAGCTCGTGTTTCTTGGCCCAAGCAAGTCTCTTCTTCTTATTGGTGTCCTTTAGTAGTGGTTTCTTTGCAGCAATTCGACCATGAAGGCCTGATTCACGCAGTCTCCTTTGAACAGTTGATGTTGAGATGTGTCTGTTACTTGAACTCTGTGAAGCATTTATTTGGGCTGCAATTTCTGAGGCTGGTAACTCTAATGAACTTATTCTCTGCAGCAGAGATAACTCATGGTCTTCCTTTCCTGTGGGAGAGCCAGTTTCATCATAGCGCTTTATGGTTTTTGCGACCGCACTTGAAGAAACTTTCAAAGTTCTTGAGATGTTCCGTATTGACTGTAATGATGGACTGTCGTTTCTCTTTGCTTATTTGAGCTGTTCTTGCCATAATATGGACTTGGTCTTTGACCAAATAGGGCTATCTTCTGTATACCAATCCTACCTTGCCACAACACAACTGATTGGCTCAAACGCATTAAGAAGGAAATAAATTCCACAAATTAACTTTTAACAAGGCACACCTGTTAATTGAAATGCATTCCAGGTGACTACCTCATGAAGCTGGTTGAGAGAATGCCAAGAGTGTGGAAAGCTGTCACCAAGGCAAAGGGTGGCTACGTTGAAGAATCTCAAATATAAAATATACTTTCATTTTTGTAACACTTTTTTGGTTACTACATGATTCCATCTGTGTTATTTCATAGTTTTGATGTCTTCACTATTATTCTACAATGTAGAAAATAGTATAAATAAAGAAAAACCCTTGAATGAGTAGGTGTGTCCAAACCTTTGACTGGTACTGTAGATTCCCTACAACATGTTGTTACAGCCAGGACAACAACAGTTAAACTACAGTATTGCACCCAGCTTTCATCACACCAAGTCATTACTCTACAGGGACTGGGTGAAAATGCAGCTGTTCTAGTTGCGTTCCGCACCAGTACAGGGGTCCACAATGGGGAGTGGTTTATGATGGGTAACAACTCAGCTCTGACTTTAGCTTCAGATATGCATGTGCACACAACCACATCCTGCTGTGGTGTTTAAGAATAGCTTCTGATTCTCTGAAGTTCCAAGCACTGAAACTGCACACTGTAGCTAACTGAGACTAACTAATACAAACTCACAAGACATCTATTCACTTCTATTGACTGAGAGGAGTTCCATTTGGCTCCCAGAGTATACTTCCTGAAGATTCTTGAGATGTACTGTATAATATCACAGTGTAATCCCTCTACATCTAATGTACAGTAATTCAGTATGATTCAGAGAGACAGGTTACTGGAACTAGGAGAGTAGTCTTGTCTTTCTCTGAGTGGTGGAAGGGTGGAAAGCCCATTCTCAGCCGTGTCTCAGCTCTGTGTCAGCTCTGTGTCAGCTCTATCTTAGCTCTGTGTCAGATCTCTCAGCTGTGGGTTTGTAAGGCGTGAGAATAAAAGAAATGACACTAGGTTGATTTCTAGGTAACCTTGTCCCCAGGCTCGAATTGCTGGCGATAGAGAGAAAGCCCGCTGGTGGGCGAGATTCATTTTTAGGTAACATGTTTTTTCCATTGTAATACTGGAGTATACACAGAACACCTTAGACACACCTAAAATGCGCACACATGCATATTGATAATGCATACACTACAGCACACACACACACACACACACACACACACACACACACACACACACACACACACACACACACACACACACACACACACACACACACACACACACTCCTCTATCCTCTCACCCCTCTGATTCTGGTCCATGACAGAGTCCAGTCTCCTGAGGTAGATGTTGTAGTGTGTTAGGAAGCCTCTCTGTTGGTCCACAGTTAGCTCCTCCCATTGGATCAGAACCCGTCTGGTTTCATGGGCCAACACTGACACCTTCGGTACCGACACAGGTTCTTAAATACAGACAGGGAGTCAGGGGACACTGTCACTGGAGAATACGTTTACTTCATTTGATGGGATAGCAAGGAAGCAGCAGTGCAAAGTGATACCATAAAGTAGCAAACAAAAACACAATGTGTTATTTTACATGAGGGATAATTTCACAAATTCCTAATCATGTGAACCTACTCTCTTCTCTGGAATAGACCAGGCCAGATGAGGGGTTGAACACACCCCATGTAGTGTCAGCATACAGAGACACATTATACCTCACTCCTGGCGTAAGACCTGAAACAACACACACCATATAATACATGAGTCTATCTCAGTAGTCCAAAGTAGTCAATTCTCTCCAATAGCTACCTCTAGTGGTTGATGGTGAGCATTGCCCCATCACATGCATTGTCAGAATCAGCAACAGTTTGTAGACAAAGACACGGTCAGAAATGTGTCTGTGTTTCTGACTTGTGTCTTTACCTGTGATGAGAGTTGTGTTTCTCTCCCTGGCCACTCTCTGCCAGCCCAGTTCCAGATGTCCACTCTTCCACTCCACTAAAAAGCCCAACAGTACCTCTACTTCTGCCCCGCTAGATCCATCCCACGACCAGGACAGGGCAACTACATCCCCTCCTTTTACGTTTGCAGGACTGAGGCTTCTCAGAACAGGCCCAGACACACCTGTAATACAAAAAAAAATGGTTGGTGTTCATCATATCACAATTAATTAAGTGAAAAACAAGTCAACCTGTGTCTGTGAGGTGTGTGGTAGCAGGTGTATCTTCTCATCTGTGTCTGTGAGGTTTGTTGTGGCAGGTGTATCTTCTCACCTGTGTGTGTGAGGTGTATGGTAGCATGTGGAGATGTCCCGTAGGAGGTGACAGCCCTGACAGACAACTCCTGAACCCCAGGTGACACCTGGACAGAACACTGGGTGACATCAGCAGGATAGGTGACCTCCTGTCTTTGACCCTCATGCAGGTAGACCAGCTCATACCTCAACACATGACCACTATAGTCACCTGGAGACAGGGGCTGAGGAGAGAGAGGGCAGAGCAGATGGAGACAGGGAAAGAAAGAGGAAAGGACAAAGGAGGGAGACCGAGAGAGGTGAGACAGAGAGATAAATAGATAAAGATCTCCTTTCCATGTAGTATTATCCAAGTTTATCATCCAAACAAAAATTGAAGGATTAAAGCTCTACAGAACAACATTGAAAATGCACAACCTCAAACAATACAACTGCCACCAACAGTCCACCATATTACACTATTTGATCTTCTTTAAAGTTCTTTGGGTCACAGAACAGCTTTTAGATGCTAAGCGTGCTATGCGTGCTAACAGACCAATCAAATCCGATAGTGTTTCTGCAGATACCTTCCACAGTACTGTCACGTCCTGAACCCCATCCACCCCAGGGACACCCAACACCCTCCAGACATCCAGCTCTCTAGTGGGGGCTGAAAACATACAGGAGAACCCAGTTACTCTGATGACAACACTTTACAGGTTAGTAAAAATATCTACATTTAGATAGTTACTTTTTCTTTAGACAACTTCCACAACACTGTCAAAATAATCAACCCTCACTGCAATGTGTGAACAGGCTCTCTCTGAAACGTGCATTATTTAAAAACAATGCTGGGCTCTGGGCTTACCTATGCCTGGGCTTGTTTTACTAGCTGATGGGCTCCATCTACTGCAGAGGGGCCTTTGGGTGGAGGAGGGCCTGAGCGCAGGGGTGGGCCTCTGTGCGGAGGTTGGCCTCTCTATGGAGAAACAGACTCTGATCTGGAACTCGTACTGTGTCAGGGGCTTCAGGCCCTCCACCTTGACCAGGCCACTGCTAGGATCCAAGTGTAGCTCCACCTGCACAAAAACACCAGCAGACAATGGCATTCACTTATACTTATTTTAATTTTTTTTGTATTAGTCCAACTGTTAGAGTGCATGTACAGTATTGGTACATTTAGATGCTACCAAGGTGGGGAATGGGGATGTTGATGACGACAATATGATAGAACTCACCCAGGAGCCATTGCCTGTTCTGAGCCTGGCGTGGGGTCTTAAAGGTTCTGGGTATTCTGCGCAGTTCCAGTGCAATACAGCTACCCTGGAGCCACTCCAAAACTCCAGGTTCATGATCTGAGGGGTGTCTGGTATCACTGCAATACCAAGAGACACATCAGGTAAATTACAAACCTATATGGGCTTAATGGGATGTTCTCATCATTTAAATGTTATTATACCCCAATGTCCTGTTCATTTACGGTTTATTAACATTGTCAGTCCTGGTATTGATCAGCACACAGAGACACTACATGCAGAGAAGCCGTTCCTTTGAAAACAAGGTCAAATTACTCAAACCATATCTGAGGATTTCACAGAAAGATGTCCTTAAAAGGAACAAGTTACAGGATGAGTAATTACTTCACATTCAAAACCCATAAACTTTTTCAGATATGAGAGAACATTATGTATATATTTAGGAGAAGAATTATAACAAAGTATTAATTTTATTATTCCCAGCACCAGAGAGAGAGGCGATTTGGTCGTGGTGGCTTGTGCACATGGATGCATATCCTTTATTGTAACAAAATATATGAAAATATAAAAAAACTGGTATGTACAGTATGTATGCGTGTATTTGTCTTCAGAGACATGAACTTACCTACATCGTTGACAGAGAAGTTGAAGGGTTGGGACAGTGATGCTCCCAGGTGGTTGTGAGCTCTTATACTCAGCTGGTACTGTTCATTCTCATCCAACTCCAACCGTGGAATACTGAACACACCAGTACCCGGGATCCCACGGTGAAACACCTGGGCTCTGTTTACACTGTGGATAAGCAAGTCACATTACTTTTCCAGAGAAGGACAAATTAGGAAAATCTTTCCCTGCCTTGAATCTGTTAATTATTCTGTTTAAGTGCTCAAACCACATATATAAAAGGTTGATTGTGTGTGTGTGTGTGTGTGTGTGTGTGTATACTACACTGTTAGAAAAAAGGTGCTATCTAGAAACTAAAAAGGTTATTCAGCTGTCCCCATCAGATAATTATTTGAAGAACCTGTGTTGGTTCCAGGTAGAACCCTTTTGGTTCCAAGTAGAACTCTTTCCACAGAGGGTTCTACCTGGAACCAACAAGGTTTTTTACCTGGAACCAAAAAGGGTTATCCTATGGGGACAGCCGAAGAACACATCTATTTACAATTTATTTTTGATGTGGTAACCCTAGCCCAGGGTGGAGGAAAAGGCAGTGAGCAGACTTCACCACACGACACGACACATCACCCAGCTCACCTCCTGACTGAGACATTGTACGTTGTGACCAGGTGTGTTTCCCGTCCTCTGCTCCAGCTACAGCTGATCTCATCTGAGTCCCTGGGAGCCTGGCAGGCTATACCACTGGGCTCTTCAGGAGGGTCTGCAGGGAAGGAGAGCAACAGTATACAACACACCCTTACAGGGTCGAGCAGGGTCTGAACAGGGTCATTTTGAGTGCACAGAATAAGGCATTTAGAAAATAAGTGCTTTACAGTGAATTGCTCAGAATATTAGTTTTATTATTTCATAAGAGTCCAGAATTGGTCAAGTGAGAACTAGTGCTAATTTGCAGCAACATCAACCAGCCAGAGAGGCAACAACACCGCAAAGATAACATCCAGAATCTAAAGGCAGTAGACATACATCCAGTGTGTAGGTCTAGTCCACAGACAGTCTGTATGCGTCCGTCTGTGTGAGTCCGCAGCCTACAGACCAGAATGGAGTTTGGTGTGCGGAGGTTAGTCAGTCTCAGCCGGACAGTGGAACAGTTCAACCTCTCTAGTGGCCTCTGGTCCTGCCCATTCAGTTCCACAGATAAACTGACAACACAAAGAGATTTCAATACTACAAAATGTCTCTCTGTGTTCCCTTCTCTTCATTATTCCACTCTCCTTCCTCTCTATATACAGACAGTCAGACAAACATACAGACAGGCAGGCAGGCAGACAAACACCGACCGACCGACCGACAGACAGACAGCTATCTACCGACCGACAGACAGACCTGTAGTCACAGTGGGGCCTTGTGGTTGTGCAGTACACTGTAAGGTTGGAACCCATGGGGAAGAGTGGCCCAGGTTCTACAGTCACAGACCCCTGACAGATGATACCCATCCTCGGACCTGATGGGCTGGCTGGAACTTGTAGGGAACCTGTCCACAAACACAACATAACACAGTGTTACACACAGTGCATTCGGAAAGTATTCAGACACCTTTAATTTTTCCACATTTTGTTACGTCACAGCCTCATCAATCTACACACAATACCCCATAATGACAAAATGAAAACAGGTTTTTAGACATTTTTGCACATTTATAAAAAAAAATGAAAAAAGAAATACCTTATTTACATAAGTATTCAGACCCTTTGCTATGAGACTCAAAATTGAGCTCAGATGCATCCTGTTTCCATTGATCATCCTTGAGATGTTTCTACAACTTGACTGGAGTCCACCTGTGGTAAATTAAATTGATTGAACATGATTTGGAAAAGCACACACCGGTCTATATAAGGTCCCACAGTTCACAATGCATTTCAGAGCAAAAACCAAGCCATGAGGTCGAAGGAATTGGCCGTAGAGCTCCGAGACAGGATTGTGTCGAGGCACAGATCTGGAGAAGGGTACCAAAAAATGTCTGCAGCATTGAAGGTCCACAAGAACACAGTGGCCTCCATCATTCTTAAATGGAAGAAGTTTGGAACCACCAAGACTCTTCCTAGAGCTGGCCGCCCGGCCAAACTGTGCAATGGGGGGAGAAGGGCCTTGGTCCGGGAGGTGACCAAGAACCTGATGGTCTCTCTGACAGAGCACTAGAGTTCCTCTGTGGAGATGGGAGAACCTTCCAGAAGGACATCCATCTCTGCAGCACTCCACCAATCAGGCCTTTATGGTAGAGTGGCCAGACTGAAGCCACTCCTCAGTAAAAGGCACATGACAGCCCGCTTGGAGTTTGCCAAAAGGCACCTAAAGGACTCTCAGACCATGAGAAACAAGATTCTCTGATGAAACCAAGATTGAACTCTTTGGCCTGAATGCCAAGTGTCACGTCTGGAGGAAACCTGGTACCATCCCTACGGTGAAGCATGGTGGTGGCAGCATCATGCTGTGGGGATGTTTTTCAGCTGCAGGGACTGGGAGACTAGTCAGGATCGAGGGAAAGATGAACGGAGCAAAGTACAGAGAGATCCTTGATGAAAACCTGCTCCAGAGCGCTCAGGACCTCAGACCGGGGCGAAGGTTCACCTTCCAACAAGACAACGACCCTAAGGACACAGCCAAGACAACTCAGGAGTGGCTTCAGGACAAATCTCTGAATGTCCTTGAGTGGCCCAGCCAGAGCCCGGACTTGAACCTGATCTAACATCTCTGGAGACACCTGAAAATAGCTGTGCAGCGACGCTCCCCATCCAACCTGACAGAGCTTGAGAGGATCTGCAGAGAAGAATGGGAGAAACTCCCCAAATACAGGTGTGCCAAGCTTGTAGCGTCATACCCAAGAAGACTTGAGGCTATAATGCTGCCATAAGTGCTTCAACAAAATACTGAGTAAAGGGTCTGAATACTTATGTAAATGTGATATTTAAGTGTTTTATTTTTTATAAATTAACAACAAAAATCTAAAAATGTTTTGTTATTATGGAGTATTGTGTGTAAATTGATGATTTCTTATTGATTTTTTATCCATTTTAGAATAAGGCTGTAACGTAACAAAATGTGGAAAAAGTCAAGGGGTCTGAATACTTTCCTAATGCACTGTATTGTGAAGTCACGGGCAGTTCGCTCTAGAGAGGAATGAACCAACTCTGGAATTTTAAACAATGCTAAACAATGTTAAACTAAACATTTATTGGAATGTAAAATGTAATGCACAACATTATTTATTTCCATATTATGAAAATACAGGAATCACTTACATCTGTTCAGGAGAAATATGACGGTAGTCCTCCAAATGGTTCTGAAGAGACTCATCTCACCTGTTCTCCTCTGGCTCTCTGTGTCTACAGATAGACAAACATTGGCACAAATCCTTTTCAGCTGAACATTTGATCTTGATTGTGATGACAGATCAAATTGGCTGCACACAACTGTAGCCTCATATATCAAAATAACAATAGCTTTTTCCAACCTGATCTCAATGCCAGAATTATACCTCATTAATAAGAGCAGTGCAATTCTGAGTATTGAACATATTGGTTGATATGTTTGAGCGAGAGAGAAAAACAAGGTCTGGCCATGCTCTTCCTCTTAGAAATGTCTGTATACAGTAGATAACATGAATTAACCAAAGTAGAGGCAGTTGAAATCGTGATAGCTATGTGACTGGAATAGGATACGTGACATATATATATTTATCACAGTGTCTGCACATGAACTGCACACACGAGATATGTGACCTTATTAAACTTTTGTATACACATTATTTTAGAAAATAAATCCTAACACATTCTTAAACTCACCTTAGGATAAGTCAAAAAGTACATAATATGAAAGTGAAATGTTGAAATAGTAATACAATGACACTTCTTCTCTCTAACTCTTCTTCTTTCAGTCTTCCATTTGCTCCTGTCTCTAGTTTTTTGTATGGTCATAATGTCAATATAAAGACATTTGGATGACTGTGACTCACCAGCATCTTAAAGTGGCCACATCCCTTATTTGAAGAGGACTGATAACCCGTCTGAGGATGAAGTCAAATAGTAAGATAAAGATTAACAATCAGCATATTCCAGGTATAACTAAACCTTAATTTGCTGACGACTTGCTTTTAATATGTTTTTGTCATCTTTGCTCTTAGACTTGGTGTTGAAACTTCTTAAAAGGAGGCAATGACCTAGATCTGAGGTCTTTTAGCAAGTGCTGGAACTTTGTACGTTACTTTGCCCCACTTAAGGAACCACAGCGGTTCTGTTAAGTCAGCTGACTCAGAGGTCGGTGTCCTCAATAACTGTTTCCACTAAATGTGTTGTTAGCAGAATACAAAGTAATGTACTGTAGACTACTTTCCTCCATATCATTTTTGGTATGGCTGCAATAATTATGTGCTGACATGTTATGCAATTTTATGGTGTGTTTAAAGGTGTCTTTGATCTAGCTTGTCTGCTACAATGGAACCAATTGAAAAGTGAAAACCCCACCCACCCTGCATGCCAGTCAAGTTAAATCCAATGCACTGTTTACTCACGGTCCTGTCTCCTCATCAGAGGATGCCTACTCTAAATGCATTCTATAAAGACCATAGATATAAATATAATTACTTCACAGTTTACGCGTGTGTGTGCGTGTGCGAGTGTGTGTGTGGCTTCCCACTATAACAGATATTGATTAGGTAGCTATATAAGAGAGAATTACCATGTGCCTCTTCCAATGTGACGAGCATGTGTGTGTGTTGAGAAGAGTGTGTGTGAAAAGTGTACGTGTGTGAGAGCTGGAAGCTCGGTCGTGTTGCTCTAGATTTCTGATTTCTTTACCCCAGTCAGTTTCCATCTCCATCATCGAAGGGCTGGAAGGGAAATCCCACAAGAACAGAACCTAAAAACTTGAGTTAAAACACTTCAAACAGTCCATGTTCAGATGAAAAAGGTCATAAGTGATGACGTTTCTGATGTTTTGCCCCTATAGTTGTCAGTGGTGTCATTTCATAATGTGATGATGATGGTGTCGGTAGTATTTGAAACTAGTTGAAAGCCCAACTTTGTTCAGCAGAGTGTGGGAACCATGTCTTTGTAATGGAAAGGGGGAGCACTGATTTTCCTATATGACAGACTTCCCTCCTCTTTGGTTGGCTTTGTGAAGATGTGTGGTTTATGAAACTCAGTCTGTCAGTGTAGGCGGCAGGTGCTACTCTGAGAGGCTTACAGTATAGAAATATAATCTCATTTTTGGGACATAACATTGCTTTTAATTGAAGTGTACCATAATAACTCTACCTCTATGGTTTACAGATTGTCGTGAGACAGATTGTTTGCTTGAATTGTGGTTACAGTAGTGTGTAGTTGAAAAAGAAACACAAGGGTTAATTTGGAATGTACACACACACTGCACAGTAGCGTAGTAGTTGGCACCTTCCAACCCTCAGGGAGGTGCTGTTAACCACAGTGTGAACATATAATATAGTCTAAATGACACTGATGAGGTATGGGGGAGTGAGGTAAGTTGAGCCAAAGGGGTAACTGGAGCCACCCTTGTTTCTAGGAAACCATACACAAAATTCATCATTTGACCAAATATTTAGGAAGATGTCGTCATTTCATGGAGTCTGTGAAGGAAGAAACCACATGGAAAAAGTGGTAAACAAGTTAGCTCCCCCCAAAAAATGGATTTTCACCAAGTCAAATGAATTTATTGTGCATCCAGAGATAGAGAAGCACCAGGAGGACTGGGATCCAGAGGATCCCCGGGACTACCTACTGTAGACACGTACCTCACAGAGATATAGAAGGTATGGTACTGGAACAGTAGCCAACACTTGGACAAAGGTCAAAGACACACATCACGTGAATGTAGCGCACCACCTCCACCAGACTGATAAGTCATGTTCTCTTTTCTATTTGCCACATTCCAACCCACCTTCCCCTTTAACGTCCTCAGAGGAAGGAGGACCCTAAAACTGGCTTCAACACAGAGACCATGGTGGTATGTACCCTGGATCTGATCAAGGCTGGGATGAAGACCGTTGCCACCCCTTTACGCTGGGCCCTGGTCTACATGATGAACTACCCAGAGATACAGGGGGATTGATTGTTTGATTGATCTATTGATTGATCCCTCCACCTTTACCCTCCAGGGAAGGTCCAGGCTGAGATAGACAGAATGATAGGCCAGTCCTGCCAGCCCAACATGTGTGACAGACCCAACATGTCCTACACTGACGCTGTCATCCATGAGACACAGAGGATGGGCAACATTGTGCAGCTGGGTTTCCCCAAAATCGCCAGCAAAGATGCAACACTGGGGGGAGGTAAGAGACATTAGCTACAGCATTAACAACAGTCCCTCCATGTGTTATCCCTGAACTTTTGTGACATTCAGCGCTCAAGGCTAACATTAGCACAATACTAACAATAGCTACCAAAAGCCATGGATGATTTGTACAGTTAGTCATAATGTGCCAACTTTGCCATGTGGCTGCTACATTGCAGTAGTCATGCCCTGCACATTGATTGCTGGGCAGGTGGGCAGTCTGTGAGTTACAGTCTCTCTGCAACGGCCATCTACACCAACCTGTCTTCGGTGCTGTTTGACAAAGACGAGTAGGAAACTCCATACACCTTCAACCCAGAGCACTTCCTGGATTCTGACGGACAGTTCAGGAGGAGAGACGCCTTCCTGCCTTTATCAGCAGATGATACATCAGACCATCCCTCCAACAGTTATCATTTGTTACTCAGGTTATGATCTCTGTTGTGTTTTCTTGTTTTCATTACAAACTTGTGTGATGAGTAACCTTGCCTGAGACCGGAAGACTTGTGTAGCTTCCTGAGCTATTGGCAAATGATCTGGGTTCAAACCCAGTCGGTCACACTAACTATTCTCCATGCTCTTATCATGACGGACTTACATTAACGTGATGACTGTTATTTGTCGAATCAACAAACTATGTTTAATTGTCACTCGATTAAATTAATCATGTAACAATTAACTCATTAGGAATTTGGGGCACCACGGAATAAGTTGTTTAACGAGTTACCATCTCCGAATTAAACTCTTAGAAGATATACAGTTGAAGTCGGAAGTTTACATACATCTTAGCCAAATACACTTTGTTGTCCTTAAGCCATTTTGCCACAACTTTGGAAGTATGCTTGGGGTCATTGTCCATTTGGAAGACCCATTTGCGACCAAGCTTTAACTTCCTGACTGATGTCTTGAGATGTTGCTTCAATATATCCACATAATTTTCCTTCCTCATGATGCCATCTATTTTGTGAAGTGCACCAGTCCCTCCTGCAGCAAAGCACCCCCACAACATGATGCTGCCACCTTCGTGCTTCACGGTTGGGATGGTGTTCTTCGGCTTGCAAGCGTCCCCCTTTTTCTTCCAAACATAACGATGGTCATTATGGCCAAACAGTTCTATTTTTATTTAATCAGACCAGAGGACATTTCTCCAAAAAGTACGATCTTTGTCCCCATGTGCAGTTGCAAACCGTAGTCTGGCTTTTTTATGGCGGTTTTGGAGCAGTGGCTTCTTCCTTGCTGAGCGGCCTTTCAGGTTATGTCGATATAGTACTCGTTTTACTGTGGATATAGATACTTTTGTACCTGTTTCCTCCAGCATCTTCACAAAGTCCTTTGCTGTTGTTCTGGGATTGATTTGCCCTTTTCGCACCAAAGTACGTTAATCTCTAGGAGACAGAACGGGTCTCCTTTATGAGCGGTATGACGGCTGCGTGGTCCCATGGTGTTTATACTTGCATACTATTGTTTGTACAGATGAACGTGGTACCTTCAGGCATTTGGAAATTGCTCCCAAGGATGAACCAGACTTGTGGAGGTCTACAATGATTTTTCTGAGGTCTTGGCTGATTTCTTTTGATTTTCTCATGATGTCAAGCAAAGAGGCACTGAGTTTGAAGGTAGGCCTTGAAATACATCCACAGGTACACTTCCAACTGACTCAAATGATGTCAATTAGCCTATCAGAAGCTTCTAAAGCCATGACATCATTTTCTGGAATTTTCCAAGCTGTTTAAAGGCACAGTCAACTTAGTGTATGTACACTTCTGACCCACTGGAATTGTGATACAGTGAAATATAAATGAAATAATCTGTCTGTAAACAATTGTTGGAAAAATTACTTGTCATGCACAAAGTAGATGTCCTAACCAACTTGCCAAAACTATAGTTTGTTAACAAGAAATGTGTGGAGTGGTTGAAAAACAAGTTTTAATGACTCCAACCTAAGTGTATGTAAACTTCCGACTTCAACTGTATGTTATATTGATAACAGTCACTCATTAAATAATGACCTCATCAGCCTCATTCTGAACGTTGCATAATCCTTCAATCTGCAAGAACCCTAACCTTATTGATGAATCAGCAATACGCAAATTGGCTTAATTATTTATTTACTAATTAACTAAATAATAACACAAAATACAAACACCCACAGTTTACTGATTACTAACGTAATACAATGAAAGCAGGTCCCTAGTGGACTGGACTATCAATAGCATGACTGCTTGGTTAGGGGAAGGAGGGGTCAGTAGAAAGAGCGTGGAAGGGAGAGACAGAGATTCAAAATATCGTTGTTTCATTTGGAAACTACACTAACAGTAATCATAATACTTAGCACCCTAACCACCGCTCATTCGGATAAGAAATGCAATGTATATATTTACGCATAGCTGTCCTTGATCGTCATCTCTCTGATTAACCACTTTCTCAAAAAGATTTTGAGTGTCCTATCCCACTTTGGTGTGACTCAATTTGTCTTCGAATGGAGTGTTCGTTAGATAGATACTTCAGATGTACCAATGGTTGTCTGAGAGGGATTGTCCTTCCCAACTCGTGTCTTTAGTGAAAGTTCTCTAGACGACTATACATGCCAGCTGCAGACTGATATGATAAGGTCTAGTGCGTTTATCTGCTTCTTCACCTCGTGTAGAGGTTGAGAGTTTCAGAGTTTCACCATTTCAAACGAATGGACTACCGTCTCACGTTTTCTGGTCTGTAGAGTGTCAACCATTTTAAGCCGTGGGGCTTCCTGGTCTAACCATTTTAAATGTGCAGTCACCACTCTCACGTTTTCTGGTCTAAAGATTGATTTGTTTTCAAAGCTTTTTATGCCATCTGGGTAAAAGGGTAGTTCCATCGCGATGACACGATCTCTGATGGCACTTGGGGCGTGGCTAGTCACAGTGCATAGTTTATATGAAAAACTATTATCTAATTTAGAATGCTAAAATCACATTGCTATCTTACAAATTCTCATACTTAATCATATATTTTATACAACATTTAGATGCAAACCTGATAACTGAAATGTGTACACTTTCAGAGATACAGTTATTTAGTAATACCATCCTTAATGACATCATGAAACAATAAACAATATGACATGATTATTCTTTAGATCCCCACCAACCATTCGAAACACTTGGATGTCAGAAATAAATTCCAATGTCCAATCTTTTGGAGAAAAAGGTTTTGGCGGCAAAAGTCTCTCTATAACAAAGAGATTTCAGTCTTACCATACTAGAGAGCCAGAGGGAGAGTTTCTGCAAACTATTTATGACCGGCTGTTAAGTCATAAAACCGGCCTATCTGGCTATCTGTCAGCCATTTGCCAAGCTGATCTGGCACCTTTGATCCTCACCAAGGAGAGAGAGTCATGACACTATCTTTCTCCCTCAGGTAAGCGTGGGTGTCCCCTCAAATTAAATGTTTGTTTGTGTGTGTGTGTCTCTCCAGGTATGCGTGTGTGTCTGAGGGAGCATCTGGCCCGTATGGAGCTGTTCCTGTTCTTCTCGTCCCTGCTCCAGCGGTTCTCCTTGTCTCCAGTCCCTGGAGCCATGCCCAGTCTGGAGGGGGTCCTGGGGTTCATTCACTACCCAGAGGACTTCCTGTTCCAAGCCCTGCAGCGGTGACCACCTTCTCCTCACACTGAAAACTTCCCGCTTGCCCTTCACTCTGACCACTTCCTCCTCACTCTAACCAAAACATAGAGCACCACATGGTGGCTCCAAACAATGTTTGGCTGGGAGAAGCAGGAAATAGTTGTTAGTGTTGATCAGATTCACTGGACAGGGAGGAGTAGACTACATGATATTATTACTAAAGAATGTTTTTGTTTTTTACGGCATATTTTTTTATCGAGCCAACAAACTGCAATTCAGAGCAGTTAATATTGAACTAATAGCAGATTTGCTATTATTACATTTATTTGTTAGTAATATTACATTTACTTTGCCAGTCCAAGAGTGCTTAAAAATGTAATGGCAAAAATGTTGAATTCCGCCTAAATAGACATACCCAAAAGTAACTGCTTTTAATAATGAACAGTTAGTTATATGATAAGGACATGCATAAACTTGGTATCATTGGAAAGAAAACACCTGGGAGTTTATAAGGAAATGGTCAGAACATAGACAGGAATGGCACAGTTCAGATCACACAAAATCTAGCACACAAAGTAACCATTTTTAGTTTTTTTGTTTATTTTGAAAGTCATCTTTCATGGACAAACTATAAGTCAATTATTGATGAAAAGAGCTGGAAACACATGAAACGGCTTCCACAACAAGTCGAAAACTTCTGGAAAAGAATGGGATTGATAGACACAACAGCTAGAACTTTACAGATGTTTTAGTAAGGGGTGTCAGGTGCAGTCAAAGGACATCTCCAAGTGTCCCCCCAACCTCTCCAAAGTGTCCTAAGTATGTAAATGAGGTAATTCCACTGCTATTACAGATTAAATAAACCTAAAAGTTATTGGTCACTATAAAAAAAACATTTCTACAATATCAACCTCTCTCAAACATTGTGGTGGTGTCAGAGAACATCCAGGTATTTGGTATAGGTATTTTATTAGGATCCCCATTAGCTTTTGCAAAAGCAGCAGCTACTCCTCCTGGGGTCCACACAAAACATGAAACATGACATAATACAGAACATGAATAGACAAGAACAGCTCAAGGGCAGAACTACATTTAAAAAATGTTTTTAAAAAAGCACACATAGCCTACATATCAATACATACACACAAACTATCTAGGTCAAATAGGGGAGAGGCGTTGTGCCGTGAGGTGTTGCTTTATCTGTTTTTTGAAACAAGGTTTGTTGTTCATTTGAGCAATATGAGATGGAACGGAGTTCCATGCAATAATAGCTCTATATAATACTGTACGCTTTCTTGAATTTGTTCTGGATTTGGGGACTGTGAAAAGACCCCTGGTGGTATGTCTGGTGGGGTAAGTGTGTGTGTCAGAGCTGTGTGTAAGTTGACTACGCAAACAATTTGGGATTTTCTTATAAAAAGAAGTGATGCAGTCAGTCTCTCCTCAACTCCTAGCCAGGAGAGACTGGCATGCATAGTATTTATATCAGCCCTCTGATTACAATGAAGAGCAAGTTGTGCCGCTCTGTTCTGGGCCAGCTGCAGCTTAACTAGGTATTTCCTTGCAGCACTCGACCACACGACTGTGGTCGAGTGTGGTGTCAAAAAAGCAGAGCATCTCTTTATTACGGACAGACCTTTCTCCATCTTTACAACCATTGAATGTATATGTTTTGACCATGACAATTTACAATTTAAGGTAACACCAAGTAATTTAGTCTCCTCAACTTGTTCATCAGCCACACCATTCATTACCAGACTCAGCTGAGGTCTAGAACTTAGGGAATTATTTGTACCAAATACAATACTCTTAGTTTTAGAGATGTTCAGGACCTGTTTATTACTGGCCACCATTCCAAAACAGACTGCAACTCTTTGTTAAGGGTTTCAGTGACTTCATTAGCTGTGGTTGCTGATGCTTATATGGTTAAATCATCAGTATATATGGACACACATGCTTTGTTTAATGCCAGTGGCAGGTAATTGGTAAAAATAGAAAAGAGTAGAGGGCCTAGAGAGCTGCTCTACGGTACACCACACTTTACATGTTTGACATTGGAGAAGCTTCCATTAAAGAAAACCCTTTGAGTTCTATTAGATAGATAGCTCTGAATCCGCGATATGGCAGAGGTTGAAAAACCATAACACATACGTTTTTTCAACAACAGGTTATGGTCAATAATATCAACGGCTGCAATTAAATCTAACAGTACAGCTCCCACAATCGTATTATTATCAATTTCTTTCAAACAATCATCAGTCATTGGTGTCAGTGCAGTACATGTTGAGTGCCCTTCCCCGTACAGTAAGTCTGAATTTGTCCTGCTAGGTGACCTAAACTGGGACATGCTTAAACCACCCGACCAAGTCCTAAAGCAATGGGACTCCCTAAATCTTTCTCAGATTATTACCAATCCCACAAGGTATGACTCCAAACACCCAGAAAAGTTTACTCTCCTTGATGTTATCCTCACAAATAATCCTGATAGGCATAAAATCAAATCAAATTTTATTTGCCACATGCGCCGAATACAACAGGTGTAGACATTACCGTGAAATGCTTACTTACAGCCCTTAACCAACAATGCATTTATTTCTTAATAAAAAAGTTAAATAAAATAACAACAACAAAAAGGTGTTGAGAAAAAAAGAGCAGAAGTAAAATAAAATAACAGTAGGGAGGCTATATACAAGGGGGTACCGGTGCAGAGTCAATGTGCAGGGGGCACCGGCTAGTTGAGGTAGTTGAGGTAATATGTACATGTGGGTAGAGCTAAAGTGACTATGCATAAATAATTAACAGAGTAGCAGCAGCGTAAAAAGATGGGGTGGGGGTGGGGGGGCAGTGCATATAGTCTGGGTAGCCATGATTAGCTGTTCAGGAGTCTTATGGCTTGGGGGTAGAAGCTGTTAAGAAGCCTTTTGAACCTAGACTTGGTGCTCCGGTACCGCTTGCTGTGCGGTAGCAGAGAGAACAGTCTATGACTAGGGTGGCTGGAGTCTTTGACAATTTTGAGGGCCTTCCTCTGACACCGCCTGGTATAGAGGTCCTGGATGGCAGGAAGCTTGGCCCCAGTGATATACTGGGCCGTACGCACTACCCTCTGTAGTGCCTTGCGGTCGGAGGCCGAGCAGTTGCCATACCAGACGGTGATGCAACCAGTCAGGATGCTCTCGATGGTGCAGCTGTAGAACTTTTTGAGGATCTGAGGACCCATGCCAAATCTTTTCAGTCTCCTGAGGGAGAATAGGCTTTGTCGTGCCCTCTACACGACTGTCTTGGTGTGTTTGGACCATGATAGTTAGTTGGTGATGTGGACACCAAGGAACTTGAAGCTCTCAACCTGTTCCACTACAGCCCTGTTGCTGAGAATGGGGGCGTGCTCAGTCCTCTTTTTTCCCTGTAGTCCACAATCATCTCCTTTGTCTTGGTCACGTTGAGGGAGAGGTTGTGATCCTGGCACCACACAGCCAGGTCTCTGACCTCCTCCCTATAGGCTGTCTCATCGTTGTCGGTGATCAGGCCTACCACTGTTGTGTCGTCGGCAAACTTAATGATGGCGTTGGGGTCGTGCCTGTTCATGCAGTCATGGGTGAACAGGGAGTACAGGAGGGGACTGAGCACGCACCCCTGAGGGGCCTCCGTGTTGAGGATCAGCATGGCAGATGTGTTGTTACCTACCCTTACCACCTGGGAAGGAAGTCCAGGATCCAGTTGCAGAGGGAGGTGTTTAGTCCCAGGATCCTTAGCTTAGTGATGAGCTTTGAGGGCACTATGGTGTTGAATAGCATTCTCACGTAGGTGTTCCTCTTGTCCAGGTGGGAAAGGGCAGTGTGGAGTGCAATAGAGATTGCATCATCTGCGGATATGTTGGGGCGGTGTGCAATTTGGAGTGGGTCTAGGGTTTCTGGGATAATGGTGTTGATGTGAGCCATGACCAGCCTTTCAAAGCACTTCATGGCTACAGACGTCAGTGCTACGGGTCGGTAGTCATTTAGGCAGGTTTTCTTAGTGTCCTTGGGCATGGGGACTATGGTGGTCTGCTTGAAACATGTTGGTATTACAGACTCAGTCAGGGACATGTTGAAAATGTCGGTGAAGACACTTGCCAGTTGGTCAGCACATGCTCGGAGTACACGTCCTGGTAATCCGTCTGGCCCTGCGGCCTTGTGAATGTTGACCTGCTTAAAAGTCTACGGAGAGCGTGATCACATAGTCATCCGGAACAGCTGGTGCTCTCATGCATGCTTCAGTGTTGCTTGCCTCGAAGCGAGCATAGAAGTGATTTAGCTCGTCTGGTAGGCTTGTGTCACTGGGCAGCTCGCGGCTGTGCTTCCCTTTGTAGTCTGTAATAGTTTTCAAGCCCTGCCACATCCGACGAGCGTCAGAGCCAGTGTAGTACGATTCAGTCTTAGTCCTGTATTGACTCTTTGCCTGTTTGATGGTTCGTCGGAGGGCATAACGGGATTTCTTATAAGCGTCCGGGTTAGAGTCCCGCTCCTTAAAAGCGGCAGCTCTACCCTTTAGCTCAGTGCGGATGTTGCCTGTAATTCATGGCTTCTGGTTGGGGTATATACGTACGGTCACTGTGGAGACAATGTCATCGATGCACTTAATGATGAAGCCAGTGACTGATGTGGTGTACTCCTCAATGCTATCTGAAGAATCCCGGAACATGTTCCAGTCTGTGCTAGAAAAACAGTCCTGTAGCTTAGCATCTGCGTCATCTGACCACTTTTAATTAATCGAGTCACTGGTGCTTCCTGCTTTAGTTTTTGCTTATAAGCAGGAATCAGGAGGATAGAGTTATGGTCAGATTTGCCAAATGGAGGGCGAGGGAGAGATTTGTATGCGTCTCTGTGTGTGTAGTAAAGGTGGTCTAGAGTTTTTTTTCCTCTGGTTGCACATTTAACATGCTGGTAGAAATTAGGTAGAACGGATTTAAGTTTCCCTGCATTAAAGTCCCCGGCCACTAGGAGCGCTGCCTCTGGATGAGCGTTTTCCTGTTTAGTTATGGCCTTATACAGCTC